CTGAGGACACGGCGGTGCTCAGCTCGTGGGGGCGGGGCATACCGCCACCGTATGCTCAACTTTTCCGCAAGCTTTCTAACACAAAATAATCGAAATGATTAGACTGTTAGTAGCTTATGGGAGGTTTTTGGGGACTTGTCCATTTATAACGTAATAACTATAGAATAGATACCAGATTTACATGCAATAAAACAAAGTTCAACATTCCCATTGGCAAGTATAATATATTATATTATTATAAAATTAATCGAATTTACAAAGGTGGTAACCAAGTTTTGTTCTTCAATATATTAAACGTACTTAAGTACTGACATAATCACTTCTCATGTAACTAATATTCTAGGTATTCTGCTGCTTACTCTAATACATATTATAATCAGGATGATGAACACTATGTTATACAGATAATGACACGAAACTATTGTACTGTGCAATGTTACGTTTCAAGATGTCAGCACATAAACCCAGTACTCTTTCGAACCTAGAAGAAAAAAAAATATTTGTAAAACTTACACCCTTAAGTTAAAAGAAGAGGGGCCTCTAATACTCTATGGGAAACCTAGAGTAGGTTTTCCACCCTGAAACTGGTTATGTTATATCTACGTCACTTTATATTACAAAATAAGATTACCAAAATATTTTTATTTATTTATAAGAATGTAATTTTAAACATCTTTACCACTTTGAGCAAATGTTTAGTGTAAAATCTGTAGGTATATATACAAGAAGTTAAATGAGATATAGTCACCTGGCGCGATCCAGCTTGACACATTTAAGAGATCCGGCAGCGCGTACAGTAGCTGCGCGTGGTCTGTCTAATAATAATGCAATTTCTCCAAAATAATCAGAAGGTCCCAATCGACCTACTTCTACGGCAGAACCTTCGCCTTGGCCACTTCTTTGTTGTAGTACCACTGCAGTTCCTGGTTATCATATTCATATTAAAAAAAATAGTAACAGTTCTACTAAATAAACTACATATTTATCCATATAAATAACTGAAATAATCAAAGCAGGTTTTCTAGTTGCATGAGTAAGTAGTTGTAACTGCAACTGACAAATGAGAGGATTCGATTCCAGGGTCAAGGACAGTTTTACTAAGATTTTCAGTTAACATAACAGGAGCAAAAGCAGAGGACTAGGTACCAAATCATTTTTTTTTATAATCAACTGAATAAATACCTTCAACAATTATATAAAAGTCATTGCCAGGTTCACCTTGCCTGACTATGATCTCGCCGTCAGTGAAAGATACAGGTTCTAAGGCATCCGCAACTGTGAGCCGTTCCCATTTCTCTAAGCTTTCTAGAAAGACAAAAACCTTAGTAATTTATTCAATCAGAGACATATTTTTGATGAAAGATTTGAGAGGATTGTAAATATCGTATTCACAAAAGTTACCTAGAATTGAGACCCGTGATAAGAATTCATCGTACATGCGTCGTTTTCTTATGGTGGAGCCCATAAGAATACGACGATAAGAGTCACGATCCAAGCCCCATAGCTTTAGTGGAGTTCTTGCACGCACTGTTGCTGCTCTTGGTGTGCCGTATATTAGAGCCAGTTCACCAAAACTGCCTCCTTCTCCAATTGTTGTAACAGGTTCTCCATTTACTAGAACCTAAATTTCATGCAAAAAAATATTTATTTAATTAAAATATTTATTATTACATAATACTTTTCGTTCAGTTCTACCATCTGAAAACCTTTTAAAATAAAAACTCACTTCTACTTCTCCTGAATCAATAATGTAAAAGTTATCCCCTTCATCTCCTTGCCTTATAACAGTTTCGCCAGGAAGACACTGTACTGGAAACATAGCATCAAACATATCTGCTCTCTCAGATTCATCCAAATGGGTAAAGAGTACGTTTGAAGCTATAGCTCGCGAAAGAGCACCCATAGTCTTATAATCTTTTGGCACCACCTAAAAACGAATGATAGTAAATGTTAATGGAAATTCTAAATGTTGAGGTTGTCACATTTCATTGATACAAAGCAAAGTAAGTAAGGAAATGTGGGCTAACAGAATGGAGTTAACGTAACGCTACAAACATGGTTGATACCAAACTTGTGATGCCTCTACTAATTACTTGCAACTTTTATAGTCACTTACCTTTTTGACATAGCTGGTAGCATCTTCCTCTGTTACTGGTTCAGCACTGATTCCACCACGTCTGCGTGGTGGCTGTCCCCCAGGCACAGGCAGTGGAGAGAGTTCTCCATCTGCTTCGCCTTCTGAAGCAGCTGCAGCAGCTTGAGCAGCCTTTGCTTGTTCCTAAAAATCAAATTATTCAAGTAAATATTTGTTATTTCTTCTACATTCATGCCTATAATATCAATGTGACTAATTTATCACATAAATGAAATTTTTCACATAAACTCAAGGTACCAATAAACAAAAAGAATATAAACCAAATGATACCAAAATAATAACAATATGTTGCCAGTTACTGAAAGTTACATTTAAATATTTAACACTAACCCAGCAAATTGATAAAATTATTTGGTTGTGGGCTGTAGCTAGCAACTCAACAGGCATTTGACAATAAATATAGGAGGGTATTTGAAAAGTTGATGTATAAAAAGGTTTTATATTTACCCAGTCAAATCAGTGCCAGTGTGCCTGATTGCTACCTATAGCATGTCTGTCTGTAGTTTTATATGTAGTAATTATGTGATGATAATTTATATTTTAGTGTAGTATAGTTTTTTGAGGTTGTTACTGTTTAAGATAACCCTTTAAAATTAACTATTACAGTAAATTAAGGTCCTAGTTGGACTATTATTTCCCTTAATTTTGCATCCATTAATATTGTTATCATTTTAAAGAAGATCACTGAATCAAGCTATACATTTTATATTAATAAACAAAATAAATTATATCTGTTGAGTTGCTGAATATATAAGTATAATTATTATTTGACAATTTAAGTTAATCAATACATATAACCAGTAGGTGCACTCAAGGAAAAATTCCACACACTATACAATATTATTTGTAATTTGTCCTCAACTTTAAATAAATATATGTAATCATTATAATATTTGCTTTATAAGTGATGTAATTTTTAAGGGGTCATGTATGTATGTTTATATGCGGTTTTGCTGACATGAATTATTTACCCTGTTAGGTTTATGAGCAGTTTTATAAGTACTCCCAACCATATTTGTAATACAAAATTTCAAACAACTCTAACTTACTGAAAAACCTTATTAAAATATTAGTTGTCATATTGACTTTTCCGTTAACACATCAAAGGAAGGTAATAACTGTTCCACTTGTGTCTTGTGTGGGTACATAAGATACAGGTGTCTTTACACTACTTTAGAAGCGAAGGATTACTCACGCGTTCTAATTTTTGAAGATATTGTCTCAAAAAAGACACAGGATTTTCTGGTTTATTTACACATAACTGCACTATACAATCTTTTAACAATGAAGAAATATTATGACTTTGTATGTAATTTTCACACTCATGTAAACATTGCTCTTCTTCCATCATTTAAAATTTCTCAAGCTGAAAATAAAGTGTTTTGTCACAAAATCTATTTCTAGAAAAACAACTATATTACTATCGTTGATGCAAAAAAAGAAACAAACAGTTAAATAACACAAAAAGAATCACTAGATAATTTAAGGTATGTATTATTTTTCTTATTGAATCGACATGATAAATCTCATAGGATTTATTTATTCTGACAAGTCAAGTCAAGTCACAAGATGACAGAGACAATGCTGCACATTGATACCAAAGAGAATAATACGCACTACGTTTGATTGGTACCTACCTATATAGGTAGTGCAAGATTCTGATGTGATCGTCTATATTGAAAAATGAATTTGTTTCAAACGCTCCAAAACTTGAATTTGGTGCTCAGTAGTTTGGTTTGATTGAGTCAACGAGCCAACTAGCCTACCTACAATAATAATTGCCAATCAACGCTCCATTATGAATATAATTAAAATACTGAATATAATAAGGCAGCTTGTGACGAGCTGTTGGGCAGTGGCGACCCCACGGACCTGACTCCTGTGAGGTGTTTGTTCACCTCCAGTAAGTACTCGTGACGAGCTGGATTGAACACTGATGAAGAACAAGCCCTCCTACCTCATTCTTGCCTTAATTGGCTGGCTTGAGTAGAAATTCGCAAGAGTAGGAGTTGGAGGAGACTCGGGGGAAGGATGTATCTAGGTAAGATGCTGGTGGTAGGCTGGTTGACCGTACTTCCGGGATTGCTCTGATAGCCGTGGGATACCTGTCCTTCCCCAAGCAGCTCAACGTATGTTGCCCCCGTGTCGCTACATGCTAGCGGCCGTTTCCGGGGGCCCATTAATAGAGTTTGCTAGACACCCCCTGCCTGTTTATGCGTATGTATTAATATTAGTCAGGGGCAGGGGCCATAGCATTTCCATAGTTTTCATCCACTAGTGCATATTTAGCAACCCATACCCATAACCCTATCGATTTTTACCACATTTCACAATAGTCCTTCATCAACCGGGGATTGTCCTTGGGTGCACTTTTATAGGGATAATTGCCGGCTGATGTCCCATCATATAAAATTGTTCAACGGGCCTCTGCGAGTTGGCTTCGGCTCCTCGTAAGCCTTCCAAAGGTCCGGCATCCTGTGATCCCGTGAAAGGAAACGAACAAACAAAATAATAATGATTGATTGGTAAAGAAGCATAGTTTTTACCATATTTTATGATTGGAGCCTCCTTTTGGGCAGGTACTGCCTGAGTTACAACTAGAAATGAATAGTTATTATTTATTGTGTAAGTTAAATGTACATTTACTATTGGGGTTGTTAATAAAAAATAGTAATGTGATTACAAAATAATTAGATTGTTTGCAAGAATTAGAATATTCAACAAGGTTAAATCGGAATTTTATTAGAGGAACTTTTGGTGCTTTGAAAAATTAATCACCGATGTTCTAAAAAGACCAGAAGCCAAAGAAAATAAGTTTAGCCACCCGTTTGTATTCTGTCTGCCTGCCATCTTTGCGTTTGCAACTTTGCGCCTTTATTCATCTGTGCTGTGTGGTGATTTTATCGGTCGAAGATGGAGGCCGCTGAATCTGAAGCCGGTGTAAAAACTCACTTGAATAATGTGTTATCAGACGAGGAATTTGCTAATTTACCCAATCTCATTGCGGAAAAGATCAATGCATACATTGATAAAACATTTGAAGAATATTTAACATCAAAAGCTCTTCACGAGACCAATAAGTCCCAGATAGGTAAGCGAACCGGTGTTTTCTGACGCTTTCTCTGTCCAATGCCTCATTTTTGAATGTAATGAAGCCTATGTGTATTAATTTATTTAGAAATTTGTTTATCATTTTTTGCATTTGACAGAAATGCATTACTTTTCAAAAGGTTGACATGTGTTTTTTAATCATATTTACATTTGTATACTTACCCACACTTCTGCTTTGTCGTCATTGTTTTTACAATTTTTACTCATCATAACCTTATTTATTTGTGCAACATTACCATTTGCACAAAACAATGTTTTTATTAGACTAATTTCTATTGCACCTATAGTCTGTTTTGGTGGAATCTAATGTAAATTTAAAAATTACATTGAATTTTTCACACCAAGCATACCTTGAACTGTACAAAACGTATCAAAACTAGTAAACTTTCAGTAATTTAACAAATAAATGTTTTTTTTTATTTTGCCATTTATCAATTTCTCATATCAGTTAATTCGGTTACTATTGAGAATTAATGAAAGTTATTGGAATAAAATTTAATATGTAATCTTTGGTCTATCGGTTTAGGTAGCTGAAGGTAAACAATCTTGGTATGCCTTTTTATACTAAAGAGGTTGCAAGCACATACAAAGATTATTAAAATTCAGTTTTTTAGCTAACATCAATTTAGGTAAAAACCTGATTGAAAACATTTTTACATTCAATTTTAGACAACATTTAGATAAAATGACATGAATTTTGTTTGCATAGGTATATATTAAATGAATAAAGATAGTTTAATGTCATGATTCTTTTTACAATTGGTATTACTTTATGCACAGTCTTTGAGTTATTATTACAAGAAGTACTGTTACTGGATATATCACCATTATATACTACATTCTTTTGTATAATCTAGAACTCCGCAAAGAAAGTTTCAATTTACATCATCCGACTATAAGTAGCCATGCTGAGTAAAGGCCTCTGCCCAAACAGAAAAGGATTGACCATTAATAACTAAAACAAGCTTAAGGCTGGTTTGCCTTTTATTTGGAGTAGATATGCAGTTAAAAATCTGTAATATCCATCATTGAAATTCAGCATACACTGATTTTTAAATAAAAATCAGTGTATGCTTGCATGTGTGTATGTAAGAGCGCCTGCTCTTAATATTTTATTTATACTTTTCAGTAGTGTGTGAGTGTCTCTGTGTTATTGAAGTAGGCAGAGACAATACAGTACCAAATTATACTCCTATAATGACTTGCCTTCAAAAAAGGTTTTCTAATGAAGCTACATTGTTGAAAAATTAGTTAAAGAATCTTACTTTTACCTTCTTTTTTTACAAGTATGGATTTGGACTTAGTTAAACTTTTATAAGAAGCTAAAATCTGTATAATTTCAATTTTTAGCTTCCTACATTGAAAATTAAAAACCAAACTACATAAAATTTTAAAAATCCAATCCCCATGTCCCCCTAGAGGTTTTTTTTTTAATATCACTTTTTAGAATTCTAACTTGTATGTTGTGGTATGTTCCATACAAACCACCAATTCTATTCCTCATTTTAAGTAGGGGTTTGAAAGAGACAAGCAGTTCTATCCTTTGTTTGTTTCCTGGTCCTAAGCTACTGTCTCACCAATTTTCAACCAAATTGGTTTAATTAAGCCACTAATTAGTTAAGCCGACTTGACTTGACTGCAGATAGAAAAGTGTTGAAGAAAAATCCTCCCCTTACATAGGTCACCGGTGCCACATGGTGTTTTACGTATTAAGTAACAAACATAATATGATTTTTATAAATATACTAACTTCCTCTAAATAACAATGTTAGTTACTCAATAATGCTGTTTTAAATTAGCTTTATGATATGCAGTATATAATTATTAATGTTTTAGGTGATAGAGTATCATCTCTGGAAGCCCAGGTTCTTGAAGTGACGGCGAAATATGACGACGCTGTAAAGAAGTTGTCAACATCCGATGAAACCATTACAGAACTTACACAGCAAGTTGAATCTTTAAATTCCGAATTAGAAAAAGCGCGTGATAAAATAACGCGCCTCGAAAATGAAATTATTTCTCTCAAGAGTTCAAGAGATGCTGCTGTTGACGAAAGAAATGACTTGACAAGAATATTACAAAGGCGAGATGCCGAAATTGAAAGACTAACTTCAAGTGAGGCTGCGTTGTCTCAACAACTACGTGCAGCGATTGATGCTAAATGCGAAGCGTTGGCATTAAATGATGAAATACAGAGCAAAGAGCTATCACTTCAATATCGTGAAAAACGGATTGAACAGGAAAGAACTTTACTTAATTCACAAATTGCTGGCTTGACAGAGGAAGTTAATCGTCTTACATCTGAACTGCAAACTGTAAGATTAAACAACACTAGTCGTTCGGTGAACCTAGAAACTCAATTAGCTGAAAAAATCGAGGAACTTAATGCTGCTAATGAGACAATTAATCAGTTAAACGAAGTAAAGAAAAATTTGAACAACAGAGCTGAAAGCCTTACTCAACGCTTAATGGAGCAAAGAGAAATAGAAAATAAAATGACAGAAAACTACAAAAAAGAGTTGGAAGCCAAAACTAAACTAGCTGACTTATTTAAAACTATGCATGATGATGCTGAAGCAAAAACCTTAGAAATGACTGAAGGAATTGCAGAATTACAAAAATTGTTGAATGAAGCTACAGAGAAATATGGGGAACTGGAAACAAAATACAAACAAGCTGAGTTGGACCATGAAGAATTAATGGAAAAGAAAAATGAAATAATTAGTTCTTTAAAAAATGAATTAGAACATGCTAATGATTTATTAAAGGCTGCTAATGCTCAAAGTCTCGACATGGCTTTAAGTGACTTGGCTCCATCTGCAGCCACTGCTAGTAAACTTTTGAAATCAGGAATGTCTCTAACGCAGATATATTCGCAATTGGTGAAAGTTTCGGATGAACTAGCTCAAGAAAAGGAAGATAATAGACGTCTCAATGTCACGATTAACACCATTGTTCAAGAATTGGAAGAAAAAGCTCCTTTACTACAGAAACAAAAAATTGAATATGAAGAAGCATTAGAAAGTAATACAGCTTTATCTCAGCAAATTGATTCATTAGTCATTGAATGCAACAGACTTCGAGATGATTATAGCGAATCATCTAAAATAGCAAACCACTACAGTCGTGAAAATACAAAGCTAAAGGGTGAATTGGCAGATTTAGGAAGACAAGTTTGTTTCTTGTTGAAAGAAATAGAACACAGCCGTGGAGGTCTTTTACCAAATGGTGACCATGATTCCTCACAAACTGCTTCTAACACAACAAATTCATCTGAATTAAGTTCATCAAGAATTATATCTAAAACCTTAGTAACATTTAGTGATATTCAAGAATTACAATCTAATAATCAAAAGCTTTTGCGTATGATTCGTGAAATGACAGATAAGCAAGAAGAGTTTGAACGACACAAGGAACAATTTGAGAGTGGTGAAATGCAAAATAAAATAGAATCATTGAAAAACAGAGTAGTTGAGCTTACTGAAGCCCAAGATCGTCAAACTAAAATGGTCAATGGTCTTATCAGACAGAGAGATATGTTTAAGAAACTGTACCATGATCATATGAAAGGCAAACGCCATGAGTTATCTGCATCTGAGATATCCGAATTAGAAAAGAGTGGAATATACTCAATGGAAACTACGCCCGAAAAAGTTAATAAGACTCCCATTCCAGAGGTATCTTCATTTGAAATTAAATACAAAGAAACAGAGAAACAATTGGAATTATTAAGAGAAGAATACAAAACATATAAAGAGGAGAAATTAACTAATGAAAGAATGCTATTTGAACAGATTGATAACATGAGACAAGAAATAGGAAAATTGACAGCTGCCAATAGTAAATGTGCTTCAACATCTGAGTACAATAATGAAAGACTTAAAATTCTTCAAACCAATATTACAACTTACAAAAAGCAAATTTCATCCTTAGAAGAAAAGAATAAAGCTTATAATGCTACTATAGCTAAACACGAAGTCTCGTTACAACATTTAAGAGATGAAGCTTTAAATGCTCAGAGTAAACTTGCAGCTGCAGAAATACAACTAGAAAACTTAAAACTAGAACTTAAATTACTCAAAGACGCTGAGCTGCGTATCCAAACAGAAAAAGAAATGTTAAATAGAGAAAGACAAGGCCAATCTTTACTCCTCAAAAATTTGGAATTAATCAAAGCCAGTTTAGAACGTGTGGAAGCAGAGAATCGAGCCAAAATTGAGACAAGGTTAGATGAAGCAACCAGGGAATGTTCAGCTTTAAGAAGAAGGCTTCAAGAGGAACAAGATCGTTTTAGAGAACTGGCAGCTCATCTCGAAAGACAAACAAATACTGCAAAAGAAAGAATGCAAGAAGAAAAGGATGCTGCAGATTCTTTGAGAAAAGAAATAACTGAAATGAGACAAGAGTTAATAGAGAAAAACAAGTCGAATGAAGAATTAACTAAGAAGCTTAAAGTTGCTCTATCTCCCAACACAGATGGATCATATGATACAGTTAAAAAAATTAGGGATTTAGAAAATAAATTGTCAGACAAACAAGGAGAAGTTCAGTCACTCCAGGAACAACTGAATGTAGCAAAGGAACACATAAAACAATATTGTGATATATCAGAAAGTGCAGAAAAGGAATTAAAAGCTCTACACACTGAATATGAAGCTTATAAAACAGAAACTGATGCTAAGTTGTCTGATTATACCAGTAAATTACAGAGTTTGGAAGATAAATGTTCAGAGCTAGAGGCTGAATTATCACTTCATGCTAATGGAGAACATTCTAATAGTAACACTGCATTGAAGAATGAATTATCTAACATTAAGGAAGAATTGAACAATTCCATAAATAATGCTAATAGTTACCGTTCGGAACTTGAATCTGCACGTGCTGAAATAACTAAGCTCTCAGAAGCACTACAGAATGCAGAAGAAAAATACACTCATGAAATGATTTTACATTCCAGTGATATACAAGCCCTGTCTCATGTTAAAGAAGAATTATTAAGAGCACAAAATCAATTAAATGAACTCACGGCTTTGAAACAGCGTGCCGTAGAAGATTTAGAAACTGAAAAGAAATCTTGGTTAGATAGACAAAACATATTGATGAGCGAAAATAGCCAACTAACAGAACGTTTGAAAGACCTAAATGACCAAAATGCTCTATTACATGATCAAGTACAAGCTTTGGGCACACAGCTGTCAGTTTCGCATGCGTCTCGAACAGATAGTTTTAATGAATCTGCTAATGATTCCAATATAAATGTATCAGTAAGTGAAGAAGATGGAAAATCATCGGAGCAATTATTCCAAATTGTTAAGTATTTAAGGAAAGAGAAAGATATTGCTATGGCTAAGTTTGACATTTTGCAAGCTGAAACTATGAGACTAAAATCACAACTAGAAATTGCAGAGAAACAGCTTGATGAAACAAAATTGACCCTTGCAGCAGAAAGAGAAAAATCTGAAGTGAGTATGGTGACTGTGAATAGACAGTCCGATATATTAAGAAAAGTGGAAACTCTGAATGCTTTGACAGACAGTAACAGAATACTACGAGAAGAGCGCGATATATTGTCGGCTCGCGTCGAAGAACTTGCTGCAACAGCAAAATCAATGGAATCGCAATTAGCACCATTGCAAGAGAAAATTTCAGATCTTTCCTCCAAAAATGAAACTTTACAATCTGAAAATAATGCATTGAAGGCTGATTGTGCCAGATGGAGAACCAGAGTGAATGCCTTGGTTGAACGTGCTAACAAAACCAGTCCTGAGGATTGGAAACGACTACAGAATGAAAGAGAGACTCTTGCTAAGATGTTAACAAATGAAAAAGAAAATGTCAGGAAACTCAATGAAGAACTTGGAGCTCTTAAAGTAGAAAAATCGAAAATAGAGGAACAATATTCTTTACTATCAAGACAACAAAATACTTTAGCAGAAGAAAACAAAAAGCTTAACGAAGAATTACAGACTCTTAAAGATGATATGGCTAGAGTTACCGAAGAGGTAACAAAACTTAAAGCCGAGCATTCTACAATTGTTGCCTCCAATGCTAAATTAACTGAAGAACTGACCAATAAAGATGCTTCTTTGACTGATATCAGAAATAAAGAAAATCAGATCAGAAAAATCGCTAAAAAGTACAAAGCTCAGTATGAAGAATTAGTAAAAACAACAGAGGAAGAGAAGAAAAAGAATGAAGGTGATGTTGCAGCTGCAGACGCGGCAATGACAGAAAGTAATAAGAAATTCGAGGAACACATAGCTGAACTTCAAGCAAAACTTGAAACAGAAAAGGCAAACACAGATAAATTAAAACAAGAGCTAGAGATGCTCAGGACTGCAAATATGGAAAAAGAAGAGAAGTCTAAACAAGTGTTAAAGCAAGCTAAAAGCAAAATAGTTCAACTTACTGAACTCAAAAATAGCTTGAGCCGCGAATTAGACGAGTCTCGTAATAAAATCGGTGCAATTGAGCAAAGTACTCGGGATGAACAAGATGTAAGACTAGCACTAATAAAATCTCAATACGAAGGACGACTGTCACGACTAGAGAAAGAACGCAGTGAGGCCCAGGCAGAAAAAACTAGAGAGGTGGAGGCTTTACATCAGAAAGTTACTATGCTTCAGCGACAACTAGCAAGTCAAGCATCAGCTTCCAAACAACAAACAACTACTGAAAAAAGTACCACAGAACCACCAACTGCTAACATCAAACCTATGGCTGGTGAGTTATAATTTGCTATTTAATTTTATTGTTGCTCTATTTGTTAATTTTTATTATCATTTATATTTACAAAATAAGTAGGTAGTACACATATTTAATAAACCCCATTTTCACTTTAATTTTATTGTTGAATCATAGTATCCATTTTTGTTTTCGAAATCAAGAAACTTGTAAGTTGGCAAGCGCCAGGCAAATCAGTCTAGTCTTTTAACCTTAAATATTAAGGTTATGTAATGTATGTATTTGAATATTGTAAAACTCACATCAGGTGTAGCACAGCAAAGTGTCACTGCGAGTCGGCGTGGGGGTGAGACGCCTCTAGCATCCATTCGCCCAATGGCCCAAGTTGGACCGACGGCGCCACACGACGCTCACACTACAGAGTACATGCCTGCTTCCTCATCGCGACCGCTTCCTAGGGCTGCTTTAGCAGCATCCACGGCACCGCCAGAATCGACACAGGTCCGTACCATTCCACTTTCTTAACATTATACAAGGATTTACTAACATTAATTCTATTATCATAGCGTCTCCGAGTCTAGTAGACTGATGAAAAAAGAAACTTGGGATAAGATTAATAAAAGTATACCCATATATTTAACACGCACTTAAATCGCAAGTCATATTAAAAACAGGAATTAAAGGTTTAAGCAACTGTTGAGTAAACCATGTTTTTACTGGAAGGATGAATCGAGATAGTTACAGGACTAGTAAATCACAATAGGCAGTTGCGAAAAAGTCAGTACTAATAATCTAAATTAACAAATGTTACAGTTTTCTTAAAAAAATAAAAATTTATAAGCATTTGAGATAGGACTTTACAGCATGATGTACTCGTACATAAGTTAAAAAATTATTAAATATATCATCAAATCTTTTAGTGGAAGTTTAATAAGAGTGATTAAGTTGGTGGTGGTAATTTTTTTCTGAAAACTGAATTCGTTTCATTTCCATTTTCTCTGACTAGAATTTGGTCTGGTTGCAAGTGCATTTGTCGGCAGTCTTATTGAGGGGTAGTTTAGAATCCTTAAAATATAGTTAAAGCACAGAGAAGATAGTAGATGTGTTATTACAATCTATTTATCACATCACAATATTTGTATCTTTTTCAGGATATGGATACAAGTGAGGCCGGAATGGGCAGCTCTGGTTCCAGCGATAGTACAGCACAACCTTCGACACATTCCCAAGTACCTCAACAGGTATGCTAAATTCTCTTATTTATACTGATAAGATTACAATTAATAATTTAAAGTAAAGAGTATACTAAGAGTAGACTTGGCAGAAATGTGAATTAATTCTGGACTGTCATAAGTGAAATTGCTTTATTTTCATAACTTCCTTTATAATTTTAAGTAAAAACGTAAAAAATTTCGATATGGGTCAAAGTACATGCTGTGTCGTAAATTGTAAAAACAATGGGAAAACAGTACGTGCATGTTTTATTCGTTTACAACATCAAAGTGGACATTACAGCAAAGACAAAAATGGATAGCTGCTGTGAAGAGAATTAAAATTCAAATCCCGTACGTATTATAATATTCATATTTTTCACGAGGAAGAAAATCGGTAGGTATAATTTACACACTAAATTACACTACTTTTTTCAATTTCGTTGAAAAACTATTCGAAAATCTATATCTTATCATCTAGTTGACATGATTTGACAGATGACAAGTCCTGAATAGTTGCGGCCACTAGGGGCGCTGTCATCGCGCACACATCGAATATATCTGTATATAAAAATTCGTGGAGCCGTGGGCAACCGCTAGTATTATAGAGTATAGCTTTTTCGAACAATTATTCATGTTGATAAATTACTTAAATTCCAAAAGGCTGTGGCAATGGTTATGCCACGCATCGAGCAGCCTAGTGGCGCCGCGTCTGGCAGCGTGACAGGTGTATCAGCAGCCAGCTCGGCTTCTGCATCCAGTGTCGCAACACCAGCTGCATCAGCACCTCCAATATCAGGTATTTATACAGATACCTTCATAATAATACAGCCTTGGCCAAAAGTATTGTGCATCCACGACATCTTTAAGTTTTAAACTGAGTATTAAATTAAAATAAAAACAAAACATTTTAAATGGGTTTATTTTACTATTTAATAATGGAAAATTGATATTTGGTTGGTCCACCCTTTGCCTTAATTACAGCAGAAATTCTTTTTGATAAACTATCAACTAGATTTTTACAGTCTTCAGGAGTAATTGAGTTCCACTCTAGGCGCAGGCAGCGTTTTAAATCTTCCTTGTTGTTGATTGTGTGGCGCTTAACCTTACGCTTTAATAAACCCCATAAATGTTCAATGGGGTTCAGATCTGGAGACTGGGCAGGCCAGTCGAGGAGTTCTGTGTTGTTTTCTAGAAGCCATGACAGTGTGCGAGCAGATTTGTGGCATGGTGCGTTATCTAGCTGGAATTTAACTCCATCCATGTTCGTGTCGCCAAAAACTTTCGTAAATGAAGGCAGTAACGCAGTTTCTGGTACATTTATGTACTTAGTGGAGTCCAAGCGGCCCTCACACACTAACAATTCGCCAACTCCAGAATCGGTCATGCAATCCCAGACCATTATGCTGCCACCGCCGTGTTTAACGGTTGGGATCACACACTCTTGCATAAATTCTTCGCCCACACGTCGACGCACAAAGGTCACACCAGGTGTTACAGGTGTACCAAAAATCTGTAATAAAGAAAAAATATTCAGTTCTGTAAAACTAAAATTACTTCTTTTATACATTTGATTTTTCAAATTATTTTATAAAATTGTATCAGGGCATTAAATTGACGTACTCACCTCAAAATTTGATTCGTCAGACCACACAATATTTGACCAATCTTCAGCGGTGAAAGTTCGATGTTTTAAGGCCCATTCATACTGAGCTTTTTTGTTGTTGTCAGAGAGCCATGGCTTCTTCCTAGCTTTACAGCCTTTCAGACTAGCTTCTTGAAGCCTTCTACGAGTAGTCCGAGCAGAAATTTGTTTCTTAATTTGTTCTGACAACTCAGAAGCGAGCTCGGAAGATGTTTTTTTTGCCTATTTCTTAATGACTCTCTCAGTAACGGACGATCCTGACGGTCTGTGGTGATGCGTTTGCGCCCGCTTCTTGGTCTATTTTCATGTGATCCGGTAGCAGAGAATCGCTGAATAGCATATTGCACGGATCGACGCGAACATTCCACAGTTTTGGAAATCTCTACTTGCGATTTCCCTTGCTCATACAGAAGCTGTATCTGCACACGTTTTTCTAAAGAAAGTTCGTTTTGTAACGCATTTTGCAACGACAACACTAAAAACTTCCGAAATAAAATACAAAAGGCGCAGTAGATCACTGAATGTGTTCACAACGAGCGATGGTAGCGAACTGATAAATTTTATTGCCCTCAGGTGTTTTGTTGCTAGCTGCGGCGTGAGTCATTGTTTTTAAACCTTTGTAGATGACCGACAAAAGAATTCTTCAACAATAGATTTGGTTTTCTCCCACACTTACCGTGAATGAGCAAAATTTGTAAGGTGCTCAATACTTTTGGCCAAGGCTGTAACATTTAAATTATCAAATTGTTAATTTACTTTCAAAGTTGATTTACTTGAATATTTGAAAAACTTGTTGATGAATTTACTAGTTTCTCCTCCTTGTGTCATTTACCGATGTCTATCGCTGAAATAAACACTTTTTTCGATTACATTGCAAATGCTGACTGAAGAAACAAAACAAGATACATCAAAACACAAACAGTACACCATAAAAAGGTCTTCAAAGAAGTCAGCGATAGCATCTCTCGACCTCTCACGACTTGTAATAAATAACTTATGTATCCAAATCCAAAGTTTTGGGTATAAATACTACTCTACAAAAGTATCGTACTATAGCAGCTCTATCATTATATATAACGTTCATATCATCATATAAGTTTATAGTGTTATACATTATATTAGTTTCATTTGAATATTTGATTGCCTTAAAGAAAGACTTGGAAAGACACAGTTTGATGGTTGAATGTCGATAATAGGAACGACTGCAGGCCCGTCGACTTCTTGCCCGGTGTCACAAGCTTCTGGTGGCGTGAGCACGTCTCACGCTCCGCCCGGCGTGAGCACGTCGGCGGCGGCGGCGGCGGGCGTGAGTACTTCGCACGCGGCCCCCGGCGTGAGTACATCGCAGGCGGCGCACGCGGCCCCCGGCGTCAGTACGTCGCACCCGCCGCCCGGCGTCAGCACGTCGCACGCACCGCCCGGCGTCAGCACGTCACACGCGCCCCCAGACGCGCGCCCTCCTAAGCGTCGCCTTCAACAACGCCCACTCGCTTCTAAGAGAACCCGAGTGCAAGTACGTATCATAATTGTATAACCAACTTGCAACCCGTCCCCGCTTCGCGCAGGAGTTTAATTATTTTCCGAGTAACATTTTCCCGACTGTCCCCTTTACGTTTCTGAAAATTTCTTTCATAAAAACCTTTCCATGTATGTCTATGAATGGCCAACATTGTTCCAGGTGTTATTGAGTTATGTTGCCCTTACCAACACATTTTGCGATTCATTTTTCTATTATAATCAATGACGAACCACGTGACAGCACATACAGTAATCCGACGCTCGAAAACGATAAGTATTTTATCGCCTATATCTAGGCCTCGGTACTAGTAACCATTTAATTGTGTATAAGTATTAGACCCCTACACACGCAAAATAAAAAGCCTTTTTTTTCTTATTATTGCAATTTTATCGCAACAAAATGCCTTCATGCGCGACAAAGTAATGTAAGTAGGAAACATTCCAAGATATCTATCTACAAAAAAGATAGCATAACTTTTCATCAGTAATTAATTAAATAATACGAAAATATTTTTTTATATCATTATTATATGTGACTCCGCAGGGATCTGGATAAAATGGTGGTTGGGTAAAAAAATTGTTGATGTCTTTTGTAAAAGTCTCGTTTATTTATTTATTTATTTAAAAAAGGTACACCAACAGCTTCTGTATATAGCAAATTAAATAAAACAATGATAACATTAGGTTTGCCTTATACAGTCGCCAATTACAGGTAACCAGCATTCTTAAAAATAAAGTGATAACCTAGTAGAGTAAGAACGAAACTATCTATTACAATAACATAATTAAACAATGAAATGGAACATTAAATTAGAAAATAAGTAGGTAGGTATACATAAATGTAAGGAATGAGATCAGTAGGAAATACTTAATTCTACTTAAACTTACTGTTACGTGCCTGCCGTCACGTTCCTGACTATGCGGGCTTGGGTTACGGGATTGGATGAAATGAAACACTAATACCGGTTTTCAGACTTTCTATTGCACTTAAGTTACAGCGTCCACGGAGTTAGGTTATCGGCGTTCCTCTCCAGCAGAGTCCGGCCGACTGACACAGCTTTGCCGTTCACGCTGACTTAACTCACTTAACTGACTGTACTTCACTATTTCACTGCACTTCACTATTTCACTCACTTTTCTTCTTTCTCACTTCTTCCTTTTCTTCCGAATCGCTTTAGACTTAGAACTCAACTGCCAGCGGTGAGCCGCAGTTCCGCTTATATACCCCCGGTCAGGTTCTAGAACATTCAATTTCGTTATTCTTTTTGATCGTCATGCCTCCAGAACCTTCCAATAATTTCGTTATTCATTTTTATTTATTCTCCTTCTCGCTCCTTAATTTTTCATCACTTTCACTCAAATATTCCAGAAAGTTCGACAAAACTTCCATCAACTAAAAAACTTCATGTTTACGGCGGGACTCGAACTCGGGGTCTCTGTGGTGTAATCCACACGCCTTGCCGATTACACCAACTCGTGTTGACAATTCACGACGAAATTTACAATCTCTAGGCAACGTTTGACAACCATCCATTGACGTCATGATGACAAAGAGTTTGTACCACTTTTCCGTCACACTGCCCTCCTCTTAGATTCGCTCGTCCCGAGCATCGTTGCTGCCGTAGTACCTCGCCAACCTGTCTATATGGACAACTTTCAAAGGGCTCCTTGAAGACTTCCGAATTCTGTAAGTAATGTCATTGATCTTCGTGACTATCTCGTAAGGACCTTCCCAACTCGGTTGCAGCTTTGGAGATTTTCCCATCCTTCTGACTGGATTATGAAGCCAGACCAATGACCCCTCTTCAAACCCAACAGAATTGGCTCGTCGATCATAGCGCGTCTTTGCACGATCACTAGCTTGAAGACCGGCCTCCCTGATCTGCTCATAAATGTCCAACATTTTTGCCCTTAACTCGCTTATGTAATCGCTAAACTCGGTGCGAGAATCACCAGGTGGACAGCCCGATACAAGATCTGCCGGTAATCTCAATTCCCTTCCAAAATTTGCAAATGCAGGCGTCTTTGCGGTACTTTCATGTACAGCAGTCCGATAGGCAAGCAAGAAGAGAGGTATGTAAGTGTCCCAATCTCTCTGATGGCTGTCAACCACCTTTGCTAAGTGTCGCTCCAATGTTTGGTTGAAGCGTTCGACCATTCCATCTGACTGTGGATGATAAGGGGTCGTTCGAGTCTTATGGATTCCCAAAAGTTTACAAGTTTCCTGGAAAACTTGGGATTCAAAGTTCCGTCCTTGATCACTGTGCATCTCCAAGGGCACTCCGAATCGGGTGAATACCTCGTTTACCAACTTCGTCGCTACAGTTACTGCCTCTTGATTCGGTATAGCAAAGACCTCCGGCCATTTTGTAAAATAATCCATAACCACTAAAACGTAGCGATTGCCCGAATCAGTGATTGGAAATGGTCCAGCGATGTCTAAGGCTATTCTCTCCCAAGGCATACCAACATTGTAGATTTTCATCGCCCCCCTGCTCCTTGTTTGTGGACCCTTGACAGCTGCACAACTAGTGCATTTCCGGCACCAATCTTCGACGTCATATTTGCAATGCAACCAATAAAACCTCTCCTTGATCTTCACCAAAGTCCTCCTAATCCCCAAATGTCCTCCAGAAGATCCATCATGGAACGCTTTTAATACATCCCTTATTTTTGAACGAGGTACCACCAATTGCAAATGCTCGTCCTTGCCGTTTGTTGATTCCCATTTTCTGCACAGAAGTCCATTATGCAGCGTAAGGCTTTTCCACTGTGCCCATAAACCTTTCGTTACTGCGCTATATTGGGCGACGTCACTCCAACTTGGCTTGTTACCACTTCGTAGCCACTCCAGTATTGGTTTGATATCTGCATCTCTTTCCTGTTCTAATTTCATTGCATCATCTCCCCATGCCTCGTCAACAGTATCAGTCCTTATCACCTTAAGAAAAGCAATTTCCTTCTTGGCACAATGCTTGCAATCCTCCACGCATGGGCGTCTCGATAATGCATCTGCGTTGCCATGAATTCTTCCGCCGCGATGTTCGATTTCAAAGTCAAATTCCTGAAGTTGTTCCAACCATCTGGCTACTTGGCCTTCGGGATCCTTAAACTGAAGCAGCCATTTCAAAGCAGCGTGATCAGTTCTGATCAAAAATTTCCGTCCCAGTAAATACTTCTTGAAATGGTGCAGGGTTTTGACTACGGCCAGTAATTCCCTCCTGGTCACGCAATAATTCCTCTCCGGCTTCGATAGTGACTTGCTGAAGTAAGCAATAACCTTCTCCTGCTCACCATCGCGTTGTGAAAGGACACCTCCTATTCCAATATTGCTGGCATCCGTATCAACTACGAATATTCCTTTCGCGCTGGGGTATCCGAGAATTGGTGTGTTACAAAGCCGTTCTTTTAGGTCTCGAAAGGCTTGCTCACAATCCTCGTCCCAGATAAAGGCACGTTTCTCCTCTGTCAATCGATGCAAAGGCTTGGCAATGTCCGAGAATCCTTTCACAAACCGCCGATAATACGAGCACAATCCAAGAAATGCCCGAACTTGCGTTTTGTCTTTAGGTGTTGGCCATTCCTTAACAGCGACAGTCTTGGCTGGATCAGTCTCAATTCCTCTCTCAGAAATAACATGTCCTAGATAATTCACTTCGCGCTTGAAGAAAGAGCATTTCTTTGGACTCAACTTTAAATTTGCTCCACGCAGCTTGTCGAGTACCTTTTCCAATTTCCTTAGATGATCGTCAAAATCCCGTCCAACAATGATGATGTCATCGAGGTAAACTAGGCAGGTTTCGCCCAGCAGTCCCACCAGCACCTGTTCCATCAAACGCTCAAAGGTTGCCGGTGCATTGCATAATCCAAATGGCATCACCTTAAATTGCCAGAGTCCCTTCCCAGTTGAGAATGCGGTCTTTTCCTTGTCCTTGGGATCCAAATCCACCTGCCAATAGCCGCTTTTCAGATCGAGCGTTGAAAACCATTTCATGCCACTCAGTGTGTCAAGTGTGTCATCGATTCTTGGTAACGGGTAGCTATCCTTCTTGGTTACATCATTCAATCGTCGATAGTCTACACAAAACCTCGTTGAACCATCTTTCTTCTTGACAAGCACGACAGGTGAACACCAAGGGCTAGAAGAGGGCTCTATCACGTCATTTTTCCTCATATCGTCAATCATTTCTTCAACCTCTTTCTCACGAGCGAATGGTATACGTCTGGGCCTTTGACGAATTGGCATTGTATCACCTGTGTTTATTTTATGCTTCACCAAACCAGTTCGGCCAATATCACCATCGCTTCTTGAAAACACATCAGAGAATCGAAGAAGTAAATTTCTAGCTTTCATAGTCTCCACTTTTGTCAGACTTTTGTTTTCGTCTAAGATTTTCGTTACAAAGTCTATTCCCGTACTGTCCTTCTTCACAACATTTTCCGAGCATTTTCTTATCCAGGCCACTTCTTCCAATACGCCCACAGGCTCTCCTTCTTCAATCGTAATTTCTGAATCACTGGAGTTGAATACCGGAATGCGGTTAACATCAGATGACCCCACGACAGTTCTTGCCGGTAGCCATGAGTTTACGTGTTCCGATTTATCAATCACAGCGCACCTTCGAGGTAAACTTCCTTCCCTCCTCCTAGGTAATGCAATTGGTACGAGAGTCTGTGATTTTGGTGCAAGAACAGTTCTTCTTAAACAGCAAACTTTTCCCAGGGTTCCACCCTTCATCGGAATTTCCTCAGTTCCACATAGTAATACTCCAGATTTTAAGTCGATGTTACACTGGTGCCCTTGCAGGAAGTCAAGTCCCAGGATGCAGTCATCCAGAATTTTGGCCACAATAACCTCATGTCGATAAACACGTTCCCCAATTTTGATTGTTACATGCAGTTTTCCACTTATCGGTATGCACTGGCCGGTAGCTGATTTCATTTGTAGGCCAACAATTGGTTTAAGGTGTTTCCTGATGTTGTGCTCGAGCAGCCGAACATTTATCACCGTCCTTGAAGCTCCAGTATCTAATGTTAGCTGACTGTTTTTCCCATTTACTTGACCGTCTATCACCAGAGTATTTCCATCGTTGGTTTGCTTGATGTAGATTGTTGGGGTTGTTCCACTACCAGCCGGCGCCCACCCCGCAGCCCTGGCTGGGTTTAAGTTTCCCTGCTGGTCAGAAGTTGAGACCGCCGCGTCCTTGCGGTTCATCTTCTTCGGGCAGTCGCTCCGTATGTGCCCATGCTCTCCACATCCATAGCACATGAAGTTCCGACGGCGTGGAGGTACCTGCTCCGTTGTCGTCATTTCCCGCAGACGTAAGGTACGGGAGTTGCTACGCACGGCTTCCACTTCCAATGCATGGGCCAGAGCTTCTTTCATGATCTTGTGATGGCCCAGATGAACAGCAGCTCGTACTTCTGGGTCCCGAATACCGTCAATGAACGCTTGGAGAAGCGTGCCTTCAATCATTGACGGAGTCGACCGGAAAGCTCGACGTACAAGTTTCTCGATTTCCACGGACCATTGCTGTAGGCTCTCATTAGCACGCTGAGTACGCTCTTTTAATTGCGCTCTATACACGTGCTCGAGGTGGCTGTCTCCAAAACGTGCTTCAAGTGCGTCGAGGAGGGCACTAAAGCTGAGATCCCCACTTGCGCCGATAGCTTCCAGCACTGAGAGCGCTTGATCACGGAGGGCCAGGGTAAGGGCTGACTGTGCTTCCTTCTGAGTCCAACCATAAGCCTCCATAAGTGTCTCAAACTGTAGCTTGAACGCAGTCCAGGATGTTGTTCCGTCGTAATGGGGAATCTTGAGCCCTTTCGTTGCGCTTAAGGCCGCATTTGGGGCGTCAAAAACGGCTGCAAGACGGCTTCGGCTCTTCAAAGGGCTTGAAGTTGTCACTTCCTGCTTGATTTTGGAGATCTCTTCTTTCACTCTCTCCTCTATCGCCATGACGCGATGTTCCAACTTGCCTAACCCTTCCTCCACTTCTTGTACCCGTTCGAGAGCCTTTTGCAGTCCCTTCGTGAAATCCTTATGCATCTCTTCCAAGCGACGCGCTTGCTCCTCTTGGCGGCGAGCTTGATCCTCTTGGCGACGAGCTTGATCTTCTTTCAGCTCCCGTAGCTGTTCCGCCTGACAGCGTGCTTGCTCTTCTTGGCGGCGCGCTTGCTCTTCTTGGCGGCGCGCTTGCTCTTCTTGGCGGCGCGCTTGCTCTTCTTTCAGCTCCCGCAGCTGTTCTGCCTGACAGCGCGCTTGCTCTTCTTGGCGGCGCGCTTGCTCTTCTTGGCGGCGCGCTTGCTCTGCCATCATGTGCTGCAGCTGTAGCAGAAGATCCACCTGCACAGGCTTGGCTTCTGCATCGCTGGTTTGAGCTGCAGCACCCTCTTCCCTCACACGCTGCGCTTCTGACATTGAACGGGTACTCACTCCTCTTACGTCCTGCGGCACTAGCGGCATTTTTCTCCAATCCCACTTCTGACACCAAATGTTACGTGCCTGCCGTCACGTTCCTGACTATGCGGGCTTGGGTTACGGGATTGGATGAAATGAAACACTAATACCGGTTTTCAGACTTTCTATTGCACTTAAGTTACAGCGTCCACGGAGTTAGGTTATCGGCGTTCCTCTCCAGCAGAGTCCGGCCGACTGACACAGCTTTGCCGTTCACGCTGACTTAACTCACTTAACTGACTGTACTTCACTATTTCACTGCACTTCACTATTTCACTCACTTTTCTTCTTTCTCACTTCTTCCTTTTCTTCCGAATCGCTTTAGACTTAGAACTCAACTGCCAGCGGTGAGCCGCAGTTCCGCTTATATACCCCCGGTCAGGTTCTAGAACATTCAATTTCGTTATTCTTTTTGATCGTCATGCCTCCAGAACCTTCCAATAATTTCGTTATTCATTTTTATTTATTCTCCTTCTCGCTCCTTAATTTTTCATCACTTTCACTCAAATATTCCAGAAAGTTCGACAAAACTTCCATCAACTAAAAAACTTCATGTTTACGGCGGGACTCGAACTCGGGGTCTCTGTGGTGTAATCCACACGCCTTGCCGATTACACCAACTCGTGTTGACAATTCACGACGAAATTTACAATCTCTAGGCAACGTTTGACAACCATCCATTGACGTCATGATGACAAAGAGTTTGTACCACTTTTCCGTCACATTACATTACATACTAACAGATACATAACTGATTAAGTGGTGAGGTTCGGGATTCAATATATTATTTGGGTTTTAAAGACTTTTACAGAATCGTGATATATGTCAACATTTGGAACGGATTTTATAAAATAATTCATCTCTCGGGTAAGCCTATTGAGAGGCGAGTTTACTCCTAAATTTGTGTTCGATGCTTTTGTGTGGAATAGGTGTGTAATGGGATATCTAGGTATGTTATGTGGTACTTTAAGACCTATCTGCTCAATTAACTTGCAGCAGTCCAGCTTATTATTGACCAATTTGTAAAGGAACATAAGATCCTGCGTCAGTCGCCGGTTACGTAGAGTAGTCATGTCATAGCGTTTAATACGTTGTTCGTATGGACACCGTGGTGATATATTACCGAAGGTATATGCCAAGTGCTTGGTGAAGGCCCTTTGTATGCTCTCCACTCTTTGTGAGTGTACAGCATAGTCTCGTTCTTTATCTCTCTCTCGTGCTATCCCTTTCTTTCCTTTTGTATTTTATTAAAAATCAGTGCTGTTATTTAAAATAATTTTTAATAGATGGTATCGATGTCGATAAAAATAGAAGTACAATTTTTGTTCAAAAATATAGGTAAATATTTTTTAAAAGCCTTATATAAAGGAATTTGTCTAATTTATAATGCTTCCGTATTACTGGAAGACGGCTTAACTGACTTGGTAAACATTTTTTTTCTCAAAACAAGTTTTATTCGTCTGTCTGTTTGACATCCCTGTATGTTTTCATTTTACATTTCCGTAGATTCCGGTTCTTAGAGAAAAATAACTAGATATACATATAAATATTCTATAGTCAACATCGATATACCCATTTTATCGATATTAGCTATTTTCCCTTAAATCATATAGATCATCCCTACGACAGCCATACCTACGCAACTTGACCATGAACTGACCAATTGCCGTCGCGCGTTATTCATCGTCCCCCTGCCCGCGGTAGTGTTCTTAGAAGAAATCGGCCTATAAGCTCTCTAGTGGTTACATCCTCTTTGATTATAATAAATACACCAAGTTTTTGTGTCAAGTCATTGCACAACTAAACCTTTTCTACAGACAAAATTACAGAAAAAATATTTGCTGTCGCCTTCTTAATTTGTTTTATTTTGACAGCTTCTTTTTTTTTCTTTATTGATAAAGGGCTTTAATCATAAAGCGATGATGCCAGCCCTTGACAGCTTCTTGCTGACAGTCAACATCGAACCCCCAATACTCGACCTTATGTTGTTCTCCTTTTCAAGGCGGTTTTTGTTTGGTTCAGGGATTTGAACGGTCTGTGGAAGTAGAATACCAAGTACCAACATCTTCGCGCTGCGATCAAGATGACGAAGGCGTCATTGTCGTTGATTCGGAGGAAGACGACGAACGATGCACTGGCACTATGTACAGGGTATGGTTTAGTTACATATTTGATAAGTTTTCTGAAGTAGTATAAATCAGAAATAATAATTTTATTTTATTATTAGGAAGGAGAAGAAGAGGAAGAAGACATGGAAGAGGAACAAGAGGTAGAAGCAGGTGAGGAAGAGGAGGAAGTCGAAGGCGACGACAGTGAAAATACCACCCGACAGGTATGTTAAGTAAAAAAGCTTTTGCGTCACCTACTAGTCGGCATTTTACTGTAATGTTTAACTTTTATAAAATCGTTAAGTGATGTAGGTGTAAAATCCTTTAAAAGGATTGATGAAAATTAAACACAATACAATAAGTAATTGTATAAAAAACAAAATAGGGTGGATTAAAGTGAATAAAATTCAGTAAGTACCTTAAAATCACCAGTTATGTTATGAAGGGCGATTCTATTCCACTGCCGTACAACGGGCACAATTGTAGTCCTCATGCTACTATGATAATTTTCGAGCGTTAAAACCCCCTTACCACAGCGCGGGGAACGAGTTCGCTTGTAAAACTTTTTGTATATAGTGTATGTATGAGTGTGTAAGACATGTTCTGGTGGTGCAGGAGTCGCCGGCGCAGTCCCCCGAGGCGGGCGAGGATGCAGAGGAAGGCGCGGGCAGCGCGGCGCGCGCCGAGGCCGACAGCGAGCCTGCGCCCGCGCACCAGCAGATCGAAGCCATCAGTAGCGGCACTGAACGTTTGTACCTCTCTCACTCTCTATGTTCTACAACTTTCACGACTAATTTTTTGTGGATTTGCTTAACTCCTATATCTAATTATTAAGAACAGGCTTGAAGGCTTGAAATCTTATCTTACTAATATTATAAATGCGAAAGTGACGATGTGAGGATGTTTGATATTCAATCACGCCAAAACGGCTTGGCGGAATTGGATAAAATTTGGCACAGCACAGGTATTGGACACTCCGGAATAGGGCATAGACTATTTTTTATTAACACATCACGCAGACGAAGTGGCTGGCGGAAGCTAGTATAACCATAATCATATAACCTAAGGTTTAATTAATCTTGTGGTCGCTTTCAATTGTATTTCTTTTTATGTTTAGAAAGCGGAGCGCTGTCTTTGGGTGGTAACAACGGCGACGATGGTGACGACAGTATAGTACCGTCTACACCTACCCTTTATGTACCGCGACGCAATGACGGGTAAGACCATTAACAAAATACATTAAACTAGTGCTCTTTTCATGGCAATTTCTTCTCTTTTCCCTCATCGTAAAAAACTAATATCATACATTGATATGTTCAAGATTACAAAAAAAAAATACATGCTTGCCTACCTACAAACATACAAATATTGCTCCGCCAATTTCATTCTCGTCAATAAAATTGAGGTTGCTTATAATTTCATTAGTTTCACAATATTGCCTACTTGTCCGTTTACGTTCAATTAGGGCGCTCAATATCTACTTACAGCATCTGTCTTTCAATATGACCAACTACCTTTACATTCTATTTGTTCCACTACAACTTCTTTCAATCCACATTTTTTCTCTCATGTGTTCAAGTTTCTGTGTCAGTTCAAGGTTCTGTTAAGTGTTCTCCACTCTATTTCTCAATGTTACTCTATTAAAACAGATGAACAACAAATTGATATTTTTGTTCATCTGTTTCGGGAAACATGTGTAAACATGACATACGGATAAGGCAATTGCGTCATACAATTTCTAATATATTACTACTAATATCCTTGTAAATTATCCTTTTTATATTTGACTAGCTACTCTCGCGCGGTTTCACCCGCTGCTCAGCTCCTACAGATCGTAGCGTGATGTTTTATATATAGCCTATAGAACTCAGCAACATTGTACAAACCTAAAAACATACAAACTTACAAATTTTACCTCTTTATAATATTAGTATAGATATAAAGATCATGAATGTGATGTGTTGTGCAGGTTCGGCGAGGCAGTGGTGTCCCCAGTGGGCGGCGGCGCGGGCGCGGGCGCGGCGCGCTTCACGTTCGCGGAGGCCAGCGCCGCCATGGCGCAGCACCACGACACGCACGCAGACCTCACCGCCGCGCTGCCGCCCGCGCCGCTCGCCGCGCCCCCCCTCGACGCACGTCAGTACTACGCCCTAACCACTATTCTTTCACAACACATCGTCGTCCATATTGCAATTAGTTCTTTGTCAAAAATTACAAGTTTACAGGAGAGTAAAAAAAACGGCGTTCTGGAAAAGTGTTTCCTAACTATTGTACGAAACTTTTCGGTCGGGTTCAAAATTAAAACAAAAGCGTATCGTAAAAAGAAAAAAATAACATTAAAGAAATTGCAAGATGTATGACGATATGCAGATCTCAATGGTCTCATTAAAAATAACATTAATTTTGTTTTACTGCCTATATGACTTAGATTTCTCTCATTCTGACTACAGTCATTAGCCATTGTCAGTTATATTAGCAACATAACTTTGGGCCCACCTTATTGTAAAGGGACACCATAGCCATGACACATTTACAAGACGCGCGGTTAGTTTACAATTCTTATATATATGTATAACTTAAAGGTCCAGAAGGTGGTGAAACCCGAGATTGGGAGGAGTCAAGAGCTGAAGAGGAAGCAACGGCCGTCAGTTCACAGGGCAGCGAACCGTCTTCACCACATCAAGTAAGACTTATTTAAAAAAACATGACTGGCTAGTTGTAATGGTTCACCTTATCGTCCTATGCGGTATTTTAAGTTAACAACTGTCATCTTATACACAAAGCTGTTGTTTTACGGCGTTCTGTATGACGAAATAACACGACTAGTTTCAAGCCACAAGAGGCTCATAGCGTCGCACGGGTGCAATACTTGCGTAAATATGGCTACTACAAAATGTAGCATAGCGTTCCGCGCGCGTCTCAAAGGGCCAATAGACCACCACAGACGGGGCCCATTGGGGCTGATGTTCAGCCGGGGTTGCGGGGTAAGCGCAATGAGGCACCGCGACAAAAAAAAAGAGGTAACTCTAGACATTTTATTGGGTAGTTTCCTAGGTCAAAAATAAATGAATTGGATGTTTCAATACAATAAGATATTGAAAAATAATTATACTTTTATTCATAGATCGATCGATGCACTGAATTTTAGATATTTTGGCAAATTTTTGAGAAATAAGTAAACTATTTGACGACAAATTTCATGGAAAATAGTTTTTGGCATTTGGATAAAAGTATTGAATTTGACTAGTTGGAAACTACCGTATTGGTCATGTTAAAAACATTTCGTTTTAATTCCGCGACAAACATCCAGGCTTGTTGCAGGATGCAATCCTACTCCTCTGCACTCTAATGCATATGCACATGCAGCAAAGGTAACATGCAAAAGACGGAAAAACATGCCACGCAATCAAACCTATGCTCGACACGTGTTTCGCCCCTCCACAGGGCATCCTCAGTCACGAGCGCTCGTCGAGTCAACATCGCCGTATATTTATTTCCGCAAAGTAACGCCTGATTCTATAAATTATGTTAAAAACACTCAACGATCAATAGGCACGCGCCACCAGACCCCAGGCCGGCCGCGGGTCGGTACCGCAGCAACAACTACGCCCCTACTACATTAAAAATTTGTAATATCTTTGGAAATATTCACTTACGTGCTGTAAGAAGCATATCTCCTGCCAGATAGTAAGAGTTAGAGTTGCAAATTAGAAGCGAGTTTGTGAGCGCAGGAATGTTCATCTCGGTATTCAGCCCCTGACGTCTATCATTTTTCCTATTCTGTGGCTGCACTTCGAAAATGTACTAAAATTTGCTATTGTCACTATCACTTATTTTTCATTCTTATTATATATACAGTGTTTCCATGATAATTATTGCAACGTACTTGTCTTACTTCAACGTACTTGGACGTCATGTTATTTATCGAGTCAAAACTATATCAATTTTTTTATTCTTTTAAAACGTTGACCCACACTAGTATTTTCTCCTGTGTCGTGGGTGCTATTAAAAACATACAATTTCACATGCACATGACACCCAGACCCGGAACAACAATTTGTAGGTCACAAAAAGAGTTGTTCCGTGCGGGAATCGAACCCGAGACACGTTGCACGGCAGCCAGTTGACTAACCACTACACCAACCGTGCAGGCAAAATGAATGAAATTACATACAAGAGTCCATCTCTTGTCGGCTCTGTAATGTAAAAGAACCAGAAAAAGTTTTCAAATTAAGTGCAAGTGAAGAGTAATAAGATGAAACACTAAGAAGAGAGGCGTGTATGTATTTATAAACAGCCTAATTACCTCTCGTAATTATCTACATGTAGTTAGGCAACCGTCATATATAATTTAAATACGAATTTTACTGTACTTACTACCCAATAAAGTGGTAAAAAGTATGTGTTCTGACGTAATCGCTATAATGAAGTTGTGTTAACAATACATTATCACGTGATCGTAGTTCACTTATGATTTGCTGTAGCATTGAACAGTTCCGGTCTGCCGGCAAAATATCAGAAGACATAATAGGTCTATAATTAAAAGACCCGGCCACTTGCGACCTTGCCAAATACATAATTATATGTCTTGCAACAAATTTAGACATACATTTCCTTCAAAAATTTGCTACATTCAGTTGCCTAAGACATCTTATTTGAAAGTGGAAGTGTCTAAATGTGGACTCACAGATTATAGAAAGACTATGCATTATTTGAAGATGGCTAAGAGTATTTAAAATAGTCTTAAACAAACAAAAAATATCTTTAGTATCTCATATGGCTGCCATTGCTGGGGTCATGTATTAAGCTGGGTTTAGTTAAAATATTTTATTTTCATCGAACCCCAAGGCGGACGCGCAGTGTTCTTCTATTGTGTCTCGAATTGCCACGATTGTTAGGTTAAAAATAAAAAAAAATGAAATATTAGTCAAAATACTAAGTTACGTTAGTTTATACAGAAACTATAACAAGAATAAATCCTTTGATATTCTTAATTGAGTATATACTCATACTGTATACTATTTAGCTAGTTTTGCTTCTAAAGTGTTTAATTACATTTTGCAATGCTACTCGCTTTAGACTCTTGTACATAAAATGCGGGTATTGCCACAATCATCAATAGTTAAAAGTCGAACATTCTGACTGAAAGCAATTTAGTTTGATATTTCGAATTTGATGAGTGTAACAATTAAAGGCAATAAACGCAGATAACAAACCAGTCCGTTTTATTAGCATGCATGCAGGTTGTTACAATCTAAAACATATAGTAATTTGGAATGTCTATAGTTTATATAAAATTACATTTAATTTATAACAGACAGTTTAGCATACGATAGTGCCAATGACAGCAAACAACTTTCCCAAAGAAAGTCAAATTCTAAACTTATTATTTTTTCCATAAACTAGCTAGCTACTCGTTCGTACGGTGATATTTTAACATTGCAGTTATCTATCGATGTAGAGGTTACCCCTACAAAAAACTTACAAATTTCAACTCCTTATAAGTTTAGTTAAAAACAGCAGCATTTGTAATTAATAAGTGAGTTTTAGTTAATTGTATGTTATCTAGTACTAGTGTAGTATCCTAAGCTAAGTTGTTCTTTAACAATCAAATGTCACCCAATATACTTACTGTCTCTCCTTATCTAGAACTCTTCCCTTCTTATTACAAAACAAGTTTTGTATTTAGTCTAGGTTTTAAACATTGAGTCAACTTGATTTACAAAAACTGACTTGTTGTCTAGTTTAGGCTTTTGTTTACATGAAGTCGTATATTTATATACTTATGATCATGTCGTTTTAAAGCAGGTAGCAGAAGAAGGGCGTGAAGCTGAAGCGAGTGCTCCGACGGGCGTGGCGCGTCGTTCTCACACGCAGCAACACGCACACTCCCCTCATTCGCCACACTCGCAAAATCAGCGATGGATGCGCGCTGCAGGTACTGCTTTCTTCCTAATCGCTTCAAGATTGTTTTATGGGCGCCAATTTTTTACGTGGTAGTAAAAAACTGGCGCCGAGCAAGGAAATCTGAAACACCCAACGGTGTTACAAGTGCGTGAGATACGAGTGCGTGGGCCCTTTAAAGATAAGGGTTGCGGATATTTAAGGGCTGAGGGGGAGGGTATGGACTAGTATCACTCCGGTCGAGCCGACCCATTCGTGCCGAAGTTTGGCTAATGATGACGGAGCTCATTTAAAGAGTTCAAAAATCCTAAACAAAACACTGGAAGCAAAAAGAAAATAGCCTCGGATGTTCCTAGGAGTTAGAATAACAAAGAGAAAGCACTGAAACAGTATTATTTTGTTATTGACCTTACTGTAAACAACTATTTTTCCTTTAGTTACCATCATTAACTGCTTACTAATTAATTACATACAGAGAGTACCAAATAAGAATGTCCGTCCTAAAGGCAAAGGTGTCGACATACTTAAGTACCTTCCTTCACTGAAGTCACAAATTTATTACCTATCAGCTGTTTAAATATGAATGTATATTTCTCAGACAGCGAGAGTGGAGCACGTGGCCGAGGCATGCGTTCCCGTGGTCGACCTTCAAGAAGATCCCACAATTACATGAGGTTCTAACTTTTAAGTATAGATATAAGTAAAAAAATCCTATTACATCAAAATAATTTGAAATCCTAATAAATAAGGTACTTCCAATTAAAAGAACAAAAGGTGTTTCTATTGCAATCTGGTTTGTGACATTTATTTACTTCAATTTTGTATTTTTTTATTGCAACTTAATTATATTATAAATTAATGAAGATTCATCTAAGTTAGCCATAACATAATATTTGAATGTATTTTTGTTTAAAGGAATATTAGCCTTTATTTCTTGTAACTTCCTTTATCATCATAAAATACATATTCAAATGATCATGTTTTGAAGTTTCCTTGCTCTCGTGTATATACAAATGAAAGATAAGAAGACTAATGACAATTCAAACAGGTTCAACGGCCGGCGTCCAAAAGAATTCGCTTATTTTTTGCTGTTTGTTAATATTTATTGTAATCAAATGTAATAATAACTGAATGGTATGTCAATATGGAAATTAATTATATTATTTGCATTCCAACCATATATTTTATATCATTTCAGCTACAACAAAATACTTAGTTTAACAACCTGTATTAATTATATGTACTCAAAAGGTAATATATTGTAGACCCTTTTTGATTGTATTATGAAGTAAATAAATGATCATAATAAAGTAAAATTTTAACAAAAAAAATTTTAGCTACATTAACTTTGTTGTATTAATAGTCATTAATAGTGTTGTGACATTTATTGCCAAGACAATTGATTATTGGTCTAATACGCAATTTCGTCATTGGTTATAAAAACCTATAAACTTGTCAAAAAATATTGTTTTCTAAAGTGAATAATATGATTTTTCAATTCAGTATTGACTTCTGAAACCGACGAGAAATATTTGTACAATTGGTTGAAATATATTCTTATTTACATTTAAATAAATTGTTAAACAAAACGTCAATTTTGCAACATCATTCTTACAGACATTAAATTTGTTGTGTATGGAAAGTCCATAATCCAGAATTCATTTCATTTAATAATTTCTATACATATAATATGTAAGTGTTGTTACTAAGCGTCGTAACATTAGACTTTCTTGTCTCATATGGGAATAAAACAAAAATCGGATAATTGTTTGCGTTATTATAGAGATAGTCTTAAATTTATCAATGCTATTAGATTATTCACTTACAAGTTTATATAGTGATATCGTAGACACAAAATATTGACGTTAAGTATTCTGTAGGTAGATCCTTTGAAAGTCATCCTTCCTAAATGACATAAAAATGTTGGTATTATTCATACATTAATTTATCCCTTACTCCAATTGGGTTAGTCATCTTGAAAACATTTCCAAATTTTTCATATAAAAATGATAATAAACTAAGTTAAAAATAACGGAAATTGATTTTGATTTACCCGATTTATTACATTATTTAAATATGTATGTATATTCATAAAATTGTGCGTCGCAATCTTGGATATCAAACAATGTTCGACTCGGATTGGAAAATGATTAAACTTACTTCTACCATTTGCGGTATAACAAATAGTTTATTTGTGGTAATTCTGAGAGTAATCCACAATTCGAAATATTAACTTGAAATATGAAAAGTAAGTGACGGACAATGTGAAATAATCCATGTCAGACAAGGCTAGTAATTAAAGTATTTGCGTAATGCCATAGGTAGTATTTATTTTTGAAATTATTTTTGTCATCGATTTCAAAATGGAAGAGGTACTTTTACTGTTCGTTTGCCAGAACATTTGCTTGTATTGTCCATTGCTAAGCATAGGCTATCTAACAGCATTTTTTAATTCGCTCTAAATCGAAACTAGTTCTACTTGTCATGTTTTCACGTTTAATTTTACTAATGCTTGTATGTGTAGCTGTGCTGAGAGCGGTAAAAAAAAACTACAATTTCGTACCTTACAAATTCCCTATTAACAATATTTTGTTGTTGTTGTTTTGTTTGGGTACACTAATATAAATTGCTGCTTGGGGATTCCAACTCGTGATACCCAAACCATACACTTGCAAATAGGGAAAGCATTTCTTTCGTAGGATTATCCTTACGAAGCTTAAAGTAATATACCCTGTGATTTATTTGTGACAATTAGTGATTTCTTTTGGGGGTAGTCCAGCAGATTTAATTTTATGTGAAAATAGCTACAGGTGCAGTAAAAATTCCGGCTTAATCTGGTTTTTTATCTAGAATTTTGTCGTGTAAAATATTAATTTTGACCTGTAAAGTTTTATGGCCTATTTGCAAAAATGTTTCATCATCATAGTTAGAATAACAGAGTTGCTCAATAACTTAAAATATGCATAAAATATGTCAATAGGATCGATAATATTGTACTACTTTTTCATTGTTTTCATAGTAAACAATAAAATTCAACATAGTAACGCTTGATTACCTACATGAAAATGTTTTAAATATGCTACGAAACTGCTAGTTTATTTTTCTAGTGACCTATTCTATTTTATAATTGTAAATGCTTGGATATCGTTGATTGTTTAATTATACCGATATTTATGACGCTTTGAATGATCCTATCTATTAACCTCCTGTGTTCCCATATTTGTTTGCTTCTAAACATCTGGGTCCCCTACCTACCTCGTAAATGTCCCTAAATTTTTGACGCCGACTGTACATCGTTAACGTGTAACTAGAACCCTTTACTCAGTGCACACAATGACCTCAATTACGAATCAACAGATCACCACCGATGGGGTTCCAATAGAGCTATTGTTCCAACCGTGGTTGCAGCTCCAGCGCAATTGCAGCCGTGGTCCGGAGCAGGAGAAAGAACAAGGTGGTTAAATTTTTAGTTAGTAAGGGCTTGACTCTGCTTCTCTCATCACCCAGTCGAGAGAAATAATTTGCTGCTTTAAAAAAATAAAGCCTACGAAAGCATAAATTCACTTCATTATGCAACCTTTTTTCTCCTCTTTTTATTGAAGCGTGATTTCATATAGGTAGCTAATGTTAATCGCAATAAGTGTACTTAGCTATATATTGGCGTTAACAATTACTTTGTAGGCTATTCATTGCAATGCAAACAACTTTTCCTCTTTATAATACGAGCGTAGATTTAGATAATGTTTTGCATCAAGTATCCACCAGATTGTTTTAATCATGGCTGCAAGCAGACAACTACGATCACTGTCTCGAGGTGACTCGAGGTGTCTAAATCACTTTCATTTAGTACAGGTTCCTTCGGATTTATACTTGTCGTAGCTGTCGGATACTCTAAACACAGGAAGTAGTCTGTACATAATTCTGTACTATTACAAGTGTGTCATAGTACAGATATTTGATATTATTGATCTGATGACTAAAGGTGAGTAATTAACTGATTGGGTATCACTACACAGTAGATACCTATAAAACAAAGTTGCTTTCTTTATCCATACATGCCTATGTATGCTTAAATCTTTCAAACTACACAACGGAAGTTTATACGGAAGTGATTGAAGGAGAAGACTTATATGAGTAATAACTTCCATTAAATTGTGGAGAAATTTAGTATCAACGTTGCACCCGTACGAAGCCGCCCTAATTTCGACTACACCCTTAAGACTAACCCACTGACCCTAAGGGTGTTTAATTGTTTATAAGTATGGTATCTATTTTCTGAACACAACTAACTACTTAATAATTTTATTTTGTGATCTTTTCTTTAACTTGCAATGTTAATTTCACTTCTCTTGTATAAAACCGGCGTGGGAGTTGCGTACCTATCAAACTGATGTTTGTTGTAAAGGAGCCCTGTTATATTTATAAGTATGCCACAACATACATCCATGCCGTACATAATTATGAGTATTTATACATAGGTTGCCTTATAGTAGGTAGATAAGGTATAGAGGGTAAAATAGAGCCTGTTCACGGCCATAAGAAAAACACGTGGGCTCATGTAATTACATATTTATTTCAGGCGGCTTATAACAATTAAGTAGGTATCTATGTGTGAAGTTCATATTTTGCCAAAAACGGAAAAACTATCTGGATGGGTACCTACATGAGGCCCACTTCTACCAATTTTCATCCAAGAAAAACCAACCCATCTGTGTAGGTATTGTTTAAAATACTTAGCTAGTTTTGGTAGGTAAGATATTTTTTTTTGTTTCGTCTACAAAAAATGGTCGTGTACCCTACAAAACAGGTAGTAATACCTTATTTTAACATCTTAAAGTAAATGGTTTGGAATGTTATGTGTAAAAAATACCGACAGCATAAAGCAGACTTAGCTGGTTGTGAATAATGAAAATTGTAAAGTGTAGTTTACACACACAAAAACCTTAAAGACAACAAACAATCTTGAAATTTGGTGTTGTTTTGTTATGACACGATTATCATGTTGATACTGATATGAAACAGTGTTTAATCACAATGACAAAGAAAACCAACTTGTATTTATGAATATTTATTGTTTTGATACAGGAATAATTACATGCCTAAACCAAACAAAGAATTAGAATGTTGCATATTTTCTCCATAAAGTGGTATGTAATATTATCATAACACAGTGTGAAAGTGCCAATAATTATAATAATCACCATTAAGTATAACATAATACATCATCATTAAGCTAAACCTTAAAATTAAGTTTTACCATATGGTCAGATAAATCAACACAGTACATTTAAAATAATGAAAATATCATAGTAAAAAGTTAATAACCATAAACATTTTCATCAGAAAATGCTATGTAAAGAAAGAAGTCTTCATCATGATGCTCTTGGTACAGAGATCCCATTGTGGCTGATGTTGGAGGAATGACATTATTGACAAAGAAAAACAAGGCGTCCTCTGGTCGAAGATGAATGCGTTTTCTGATCAAGAAGTAGAATTGTCCAACTGTTAAATCGGATGGTACCAAATATTTCTTCTTGTCGAGGTCTCCAAGCCTAGCCTTCGGGGCTTTCTCAACAATTACCGGAACGCGATCAGGATACTTCCTGCGAATCTTTTCGCCTTCGGTCTTTCTCTTTTCAAAAGAATGTTCTTCTTTATATTGGAATTTCATTTTGAGGTATTGCGCACTCCACAATTTTCAAAACTATCACCAATAAAGTCGGATCTGATATCTACTGCGACTTGTTTTTTGTTTTTGCGTTTTATGACTACGGAGCAATGACGCAATCAGCTGATATGACAAGCAATACAAAGAATACAAAGCATTTTTCTCTTTTATATGTTGGCAACCATGTTTTCATAAAGCTATAAACAGACTGTAAACGACTAGGGATGGTAAATTTTAAAACTAAATTGATCTGAATAAAAAAAATATCAAAATGCTGAGAAAAAATAAACACAGTGTTAGTAAAAAAAAATAACAAATCACAATTCAAACAAAAAGAATGTGGCAAAATTTTTATTAAGATTTTTTAATTTCACACTTTGCAACAAAGGTAAAGTAAGCAATTAAGGTTTTCGATATTGACTTTTGAAGTTGATAATTTGCCCGAACACACTATATAAGCCCGAAACAAATTGTTCGTTGCCTTCAAATGTATGCACGTCCCGGGCCGGGACGTTCTGTCGCAACACGATACACCATGCTACAATTATATATTTCAGGCTTTATAAAATTTAGCATACGTCGAGCAATTATGTCATTGAATATCTATAAATAAAAAAAACTTTTTAAGTTATATCAAATATTTATTGCAATAACGTTTTTAAAAAGTCAGTTGACCATGAAGTTGTAAGTAAAATGGAGACCGGACCTGTGACAGAATTGTATTACCACACAGTGGCGAATCGTGTTGCACCCGAAGCCTGTCGGTTTAATCATTATATTCACTTTTCTTAGAACAACACTCGCATAGCCATGTTCATGTCACCCAGAGCAGGCGGCTGATCGCAATGGAGTGGTAATGATATGTCGCGACACGCCTTGCAAATGTGTCCCTGTTCCAAGAGGCTCGTGGTGATTATTTTGCAGATCCGCTCATATGCAGTTTAGATCAGTTTTTATTTCTATAAGTTAACAATGAAATTCACGAACGAGTCTTTCATCAATTTTAATATATTCGTGATGTATGCACAATATACGCACACTGTATACACTGGTCATCACGACACGCCATAGAAATGTATTTCTGCCATTACTCTACGCCTAATAAATAGTTTATCATACCGACAACGCCATAAAATTCCGGTATGATACTCTCGACGTTATTCTTTTAAGTTCTTGTACCATGTAATGATACTGTGCCTCTTGGGAATTAAACATTTTATTAAGGTAAAAGTTTGTACTTGCTAAAAACTTTTACTTTCTCAATTCAGCCTATTACTATATGTTCAACGGCTAATGTAGACATTATCTATCTATTATCGGTATATCTGATTTTGGGTATTTAATTGTATCTTATATCAGTTGATTGTGTATATATTAAAGCATATATGCATCAGATATGCATCAATTAAAGTGATCAAAAACTGGCAACTGGCAACACTTAATAGCAGCTCAATCTCATTCAATTAAAAGACTTGGCTTAAAGGATTTGTATCCAGGCCATAAACTACAAAAAAAACAATCTCATTCAGGCCATAAACTCTAATCTCATTCATTCGACGTTCAGCGCATTTCGTTACGTTTTCGTTTGCTTGTTGCTTGCACTCTGAGTTGTGAAGCTTTGGCGTGGGTTCTCTGTTTCTGTTTCTCTACAATTTCAAATAAATATGCGTAAGCGGAAATCTGTAAAGAAGAATGACGATGATTCAGATGGATCTGAACCGGCAGCGGAACCAGAAGAATTCCAAGACTCTGGTGAAGATTGGACGCCGGATGCCGATTCTGTATGTGATTACTGAATTCACCAATATTACCTCATCATTTAGTATTTCCCGCTACATTTCAATATACAATATTCTGTATAAATTAATATTTTTCCAAAGTGTGTTTATTATGGTAAAATTATTTGTATATTAATGTTATAGGTTAAGTTAAAGTGTACGATCATCAATACACCTCTAGTTACATTTTTGGATTGTCTCTTATTTTATGCTAAAATAGTAACAAAGTAACATCATGTGAAACTATAATATAGAAAATTAAACGTATACCTATCAACAGAATGAACAACCTGGACGAGGAACTCGTAAGCGTACTTCTAAAGCGTCCTTGAATAACAGCAAAAAGAAACGCAAAAACTCCTCCTCTGAGGAAAGTGAAGGTGAAGGGGAGGAAGATGAGGAAGCAGAAGATGAAGAGGGGGAACTTGATGAAGAAGAAGGCTCTGATGATGAGAAAAATGGTTCTGATGGGAATAAATCTGATTCCAGTCAGTCAAAAGATGTACCAAAGCATTTCCATGTGAGTATTGGTTTTAAGTGAGACTATGACATTTGGTAAAGTTGTAAATATGATTATTTTTTAATTATTTCAGTCCGGGAACTTTGTATTGCTAAAATCTGATGTAAAGTGGGATGGAGATACAGTCACCTCTAAGTTGGATGAGTTAAATTTGTGGAAAATAGATGGAAAAGCCCTCCTACAAAAATTTATTCCAATGGAATCAAATGGTAAAATATTGCACAAATGCACATGTGTGGTGAGTATATTTTTTATGCAACTGACACAATTTATATTTTCAAATAATATATATATTTAAAGTTTATTTTAGTACCTCACTTTCATTTTTTACAATGTGGGTGTATATTATTTTCTTATATGATTGCTATTGGAGAAATGGGTATTAGAAAAAATATATTCTTACAGCTTTCAAACAAAATGTGGTTAGTAAACTTACTTTTATTCCTTGAACCCATTTTGTGACTATAATTAAGTATCATAAAGTAAAAAGTAAATAATGTATTGTTATTAGTGTAAATTATAGGACAAGTAAAAAAATGCTATTGTATGTTTAAATGGGACTGAGCACCTAGATCTAGATTTTCTGACAAACATTAACTGGCAATAATTCTATTTTGATCTTTGAAAAGGATCTGTTTATGGTTTACTTGGAATAAATGATTTTTTTTATGTTGTATTATTGTGTACAAACACATCACACCCAGACCTGGAACAACAATTTGCGAATCACCTGATGATCATTTATGAGTTGTTCTGTGCTGGAATCACCTTGCAACATATTTCGGGGCATAAAAATGCAAGACATCTGACTTCTTTAGTATAATTGTTAACTTAGTAGTGTATCCAGATCTAAAAGATAAGAACTGCAAATTAACAGCATCAATTTAAAATTCACAGACAGCCTGCAGGCAGTTCGCAAGCAGTGTGTATTGTAGAGACTTTAACATTATATATATTGATAGATAACATTTATTGTATTTTGCAGTATTCTGGATGGAATGTTGACAACCGAGACAATTACTACCCCATCACTGAAATATTGGATCGGAATCCACGCACTGATTCCAAGGAAATATGTGTAGCATTAGATCTAAATGATCTTATCAAAGTAAGGGACAAGTAAATCCATGGTATTTTTTACTTAATTCAATTAGATAAGTGAAAGTAAATTAATTAATGATTCTTTAATTCCTGTTTACTTGTATAATTCAACTTCATTCCAGATTACTTTGTGTAATATTTTATAAGCTCGGGGATTAAATGTTCAATTCTACAATAGGTTTATTGTTTGTTTTATTTTACAGTTTTTAATGATTCATTAAGGTTTAGTATTGTTTACATTAAATATTGAATTAGGAATACAACACCTCATAATATTATATCATCAAGGATATTTTCTCGATGTTCCTTACACTTAACATAATATGTTCATAATAAACGAAAGGTCTTGAATCACTCTGCCTCATAGCACGGTAATAATATCTATACAGTATTAAACTCGCCGCATTTTAAAAATAAATGTCTACTGCCGCGCGGTACGATAACATACGGCAGGACTGCCTCCTCAGCTTATTGTCGTTTCTATAAATTACGTATCTACCTACCAACAACTCCTAATAACTTATTAAATTGAATATCTAACTACTGTTGTTGTAAAATGTTTTTGTTGTGTTTTATAATGTTTTAAAATGATAACCCTCTCAAATATTTTATGAAAACTCAAAACATTATGAGGGTAGCTGTTGTTGCTAGTGCTACCTATTTCACTAGTATTAACTTGCTTTTACTCTAATAGCTTTATTTAACCGAAAACACTTTTCTCAGGATATAAAAGAAAAAACTAGTAACCTAAAATAGAACTTATTTTACGGGTGGGGGTGCACCCCACATCGAGGCGTGTGCGTAGGTATAGTGCGCGTTTCGTCTGTTTATATGAAGTTGGAATACTGTATAATATACCTAATATTACCGTGCTCAACGACGGATCCAGAGGGAGGGTTACGGTGAACATGACCCCCCCCCCCCCCTCCAGGACTTAGTAGGTGGACATGTACATATTGTGGTGATGTATATTATTTATACTTTTTATCACCTTATCTTCAGGTTTTATGTAACTAAATACCTTTATATTTAATTAATGTAATATAATAACTTTGCATGATGGCAAACGTTTGGGAACATACGCATCGATTGGAGGGGGCAAAATCATCAAATTACTAGGGAGTATCAGACTGTTACTGACTAAAAACCACCCCGTTCCTTCTCCCATTGTAGGTCGAGGTCACGTTATCTATTTGTGCTTCCTGTCAACTATGCCTGATATCAGCTCTGTTGGACCCCACCTCTGGTGGTTATTTAAGGCACGCGCGGAACACTACGCGGCGTACGGTCAGGTCAGGATCTGGTCAAGTGGCGAACAACCTTTGCTAGCCGTCCGCAGACCCACGCTTACGGTGGCCGGAGACCTTCTCGTGATCCCCGAAACCTGGAATGTCTACTACTGCAGCGGCTGGAGAGCGTAAGGAAAGTACTCATGATCTTCGCCACCGTCGCGTCGTTATCAATCACTTACCTGAGGACATCCGTAAACTCCCGCTAGCCCTCACAATGCTGGGCGTGAGGGCCCCATCTTTTTGTATTGGGTTGGAAAATCTTCATAGAGACCCGGCCACCGCCCTCGGGAAAGGGCGAAGGGTACTGTCAGACTCTTACTGACTAAAACCAACCCGGTATTCCTCCATTTACCCATGGCTCGGAGGGACGGGTATCCCCGAAGTGAGGGTCGCAACCCCCCAACGGGCATTGGCCCGCCAGATAGTCAACCGGAAGCTGAGGGTGCCGTGACTCCTCTTGAGCCACTCCTCTAGAACGGGCCTTACCGCTACTACAGCGGGCGGTGTGCCCCGCCGTGGTTCTGCCTTGCGTGCATCAACCTGTCGAGGCACCAGGCTCTCGTCCCACTTGACTGCATCCACGCGCCAGCAATAGAGCATTGCGAGGAGCTTTACGTCGAGGTCCCAGAGCGGGGATCCGGCTAGGACGCTCGTTGCCTCAAAGGAGATCGTACGGTATCCCCTCATTATCCTGACGGCCTGACGAGTATAGTAACGGACGGAGGTACATTCATAAAATACCTACTTTTTTTACTTGTATTTATTGCAATGAATGCTTTGACTTGAGCTCTACTACGTGACCCCCTCCTGGCGCCAAAGCTGGATACGCCCTCGATCGTGCTCATAGCATAAATTTAAAGAGGTTTTTCATTTACGTTCATTCGACGATTTCTACCTTCAAAAAAAATCCGACGTACCTGCCAGAAGAAATGTATGAAACTCAGCTATCGATATCGATACTTTTTGGTTTTGACTACAGTACTTCCTTAGCAATGGCAGCCATATTAAGGGCCATTTTGACAGTAGGTATACACGCGGATTTTGTTGGTATTTCTGGTCCAGATTATTGTAGGTCTGTGCATAAGTACCACAGACTCTTGTACGTTTATGTGTCATGTCGTGTATTGTATTGACAATTCAAAAAAAATATGTCATTTTGAATTTTGATGTTTATTTTGTTGCTTGATCAACAGTCAGTGAGAGTGAGATGTGCTTGCTGTATTTTATATAATTAAAATTAAAATTGAAGCAATTGTACTGTACTGTACTGGTTTTTTAAAGATAGGATCAAATCTAGAATTGGAAAGTTATTTTGTCGCTTAGATATGCGTATTTTAGTTTTCTAGTTCGTGTCATTCTCATCTCGTATTGAGAAACATTTTTATGAGGAAGCACCAAAGGCTACGTATCTAGATATTTTATGTAACGTTTTCCTTATTTAGATATTTAAATTATTAAAATGAATGGAAATAACAGCCGTGTGGGTAAGCTTTCCTTTCTATATTTACCAATATTATAAATTTCATAAATATTTTGATATTTTGTCTATGTACCTTTAAACCTTTTAATTTTATTTTGGATGAGACTTAGTTATGTTAATTTCTGATTCATATACTGATGCTTTGGGAAATTATGGAGCTTTATGTTATGACTTCACTCATTTTATGTTAATCTGGTTATTTATTTTGAGCACTTTAGCATTCAATTATAAGACTGACATCACTATTTTCTTAAATGATAAAATGAATGTAGACTATAGTGCCTTTTGCCACCTTCTTGTTTTCTATATGTCCTGCTAAAAACTTTCTCTAAATGAAATCATCATATACTTTAATTGTTTTCTATCATCTGTCTGTTTTTTACAGATTTAGATTGTGCTGTGTGTTTACAAAAATGTAACCATCCAACACAGCTGCCATGTGGCCATATCTTCTGTTTTCTGTGTGTGAAGGTATTGTGAACTTAAATACATAATATGTTTATTAAAATTGTGTGTTTCCATGTATAATTTTATTTTCATTACTTTTTGTACAGAAACTTTTGTTTAATCATTACTATGATTATTTTATCAAAACATCAGTATTTTGTAAGATATATAATATATAAATATAGCCATTAGTAAAATTTTAAAACTGAGATGTTTCTTGCGAGAATACTGAATATTAAATACCAGGAATGCAGACAAATCAACAGGGTCTGATAAAGTAATCTTTCAGATACTTATAAAAATACCAGATGTAAACAAGAATCTCTCTGTAGTCTCAGATGCTTATTACCCTTAAACTAAATACTCTATAAACTAGTATTGTTTTAAACTATTGTTTTTAGACCTTTTTTAACTCAGAAACCTGAGCCAATGGCAACCCTTATCAAGTGCAAGTTAAACATATTTATAAATACTGTTACTCATATATAAAATGTTAGTTGTTTTGTAAAGGTTAATGTCTTTTGGTTGACTTGTTTTTACAGGGTATTGCCTTCCAAAGCAAAAAATGTGCAATGTGTCGAGCTGAAATTCCACCAAATTATCTAGATAATCCAATACTCCTGGGTCCATTGTCTGCTGAGCAAGTGAACAATAGTCTTGCTGAAGAAGTGTATCAGTGGTTTTACGAGGGTAGAAATGGTATGTCTAAAATATTTGGCTATAATTCCCAACTGAATTACAAATAACTCAGTAACTATTCACCCCAAACCCTGTTTTATAAAATGATCATAAAGTATGTAAAAATTTATGGTAGAATTTAATTTGCATGAATTTGTCTCAATCTGTCACAAGAAGTTAATTAGGCACTATGCAGACAGTGAAACTAGGCTTTACTTATGTATGCTAATATTTTTTAGAGGTAAAATTTATAAGCTGTATGTAGTGGTAATCTTTGAAGCTTTAAGTGTGGGAGAGCCATGCTTCATGGCATGCACAAATGGGTCGGCTCGACCGGAGTAATACCACGGCCTCACAGAAAACCGGCGTGAAATAACCACAGCATTGTGTTTCGCTGTGTGAGTGAGGTTACCGGATGCCCAATCCTCCCCCTCCCCCAATCTTTCCTCATTTCCAAAATCTCCAAATCCCTACTCCCTAAAAGTCGGCAACGCACTTGTACTCCTCCGTCGTTGCGGGTGTCCATGGGGGGCGCTGATGGCTTACCATCAGGTTATGCGTATGCTCGTTTGCCGACCTATCACATAAAAAAAAGCTGCTGGTCAGATATCCAAAGGTTGTTCACTGATACAATGTTCTTGAGTGCTATAGGCTATAAAACATCACGCTACGATCTATAGTAGCCGAGTAACTCGCACTTTCGAGGCTTTTGGCACTGTGGTACTACTTTCCACGAGAAGATTTCGCGTAACTTCTCGAACGCCACCCATTCGAGTTGGATTCTGCAGACTACAGGTCGTCTCTGTCGAAGTTAGATCAAAATAAGTGGAAAATCTGTCTGAAGTTGTTTTTATTTAGGAGGAGGAAAAGACCGAGTAATAATGTGAGTGGATCATGTAAACTAACAGCGTCGTCCATGGGCACTCGCAATGTCAGAAGGGTCAAGTTGCCGCTCTTTAAAAATCCTTCCAATCCAAAGGCCGCCAAGTGAGCAAACAGCTTACCTATTGGCAATGACGACAGTGGTTATATCCTCTTTGCCTATTTGTAAGCAATTGGCACCGCCCATGGACAACCGCAACGCCAAAGAAGTCACGAGTGCGATGTCGGCCTTTTTTATAATTTTTTTTTTCGCGGATTTAGGCATTGGATAGGTTTGGAGCGAGGGGAAGAATTAATTGGGTCTCCGGTAACTTCAGTTTCATGGCTAAACACAACCCTGTAGTTGTTTCACGCCGGTTTTCTGTATTTCCGTTTTTTAGAGGTCACATTTCTGCCTTCGTCCTTCCCAGGATCACATTAAGACCCGCCGGTTAGGAAACGTTATTGAGGTCCTTGAGAATGGTTTTAACCAATGAACGACAAACTCACATAATATAATTTTATTCCAGGATGGTGGAAATATGACGAACGTAGTAACTTTGAATTGGAAAATGCGTTCAATGCAGGTGATCCTGATTGTACCTTACTCCTTGCTGGAACCTTGTACAATATAGATTTTCAAACAATGACACAAGTCAGGAGAAGTGATCAAACCAGGCGTCGTCGAGTTAGACGAGATACGCCGTCTTTCCCGTCCAAAGGTAAGTACAAAAATCATTTTATATAAAAAAAATATCTTATCTTAGAATTTAAATGAATCATGTACCAACATAAATATATATTATGCTACTGAAGACTTAAATTAATTTTAAATTTGTACAGTATACCTAAGTATATTAGTTTTGTCAGTTTAATCAGTATATGTTTCGCTTTGTAGGAATAGCAGGTATAAAGACTGAAGATGGTGGAGCAAGACAAGTTAAGAGTGATGATGAAGAAACGGCGGATGTTGTACATATACCGACCGTACAAGAAGTAATCGAAATTAGTGACGATGAAACAAGTGATTTAATCCCACCAGCTCTTATTCTCAATGAAGATCTGAATGGCGTGATTGACAGAATTAGGTAAATTTCAAACACAATCGTATAATAATAACACGATATAAAATATGTATATACAGTAGGCCAACGCCTTTTGGATTCTTGTTCTTGTTTTGGGGCGGTCCGCAATAAATCATTGCGCCTCCCTTTTCACCACACCACACAATGACTTGAACAAACTGGGCGCGAACCTGAACCTTCTGCCCTGCCCTTAGCATAAGCAGGGCACACGCCTCTTTATGATCTGCTATGTCCTCCGAATAATCCGCCGACACCGGGACCTTACATTTCGCTGACAGATTCAGATCAAAATAGGAACAACCTCCCAAAACATCCGTGTAGTGTGAGTACCTGCACCAGGTGTGAAAGGTGAGGTTGTGCTCGCCGTCTCTACCTCCTATTCCAAAGAAAAGGGGCCTTATCACTACGATAACATCGATCCCACTCGTATATACGATAGACCTATAGTATCTAATCATTGTCACTAAACATAAAATAGACGCTTTCGGTCTATTTGCCCTTTTATGTGTAACTGGCTATTTGCGGAGGGTATCACCCGTTCCTCGGCCCTCTTTGATCGTAGCTTGATGTTATAAATTGCATAATTATGTCTCTATACTATTATTATAAAGAGGTCTTTGGAACCGCTGGTCGGATTGCCAAAATTCCATTCCATTAATAGATCTTCAACAATATTCCTGAGTGCTATAGGCTTTAAAACATCACGCTACGATCAAATGGAGCAGCGGGTGAAACCGCGCGAGAGTAGCTAGTCTTAGATAAAACGCAATGGATTTTGATGCTGATGAGGCGATACCTATAAAAAACATTCGACGACAGTAATAAAATTAACTGACGACGTCACAAAAACTACGTTGCGCATCATAATATTTTCAGGTCTACTGCACAGTCATAGATAAACACAACCTATTGTTGTCACTTTAGATTACTTCGATTAATGATAAATAAAAAAATCTTGTTTTTTGTTTCAGCTCGGTCAGCCTTACCGACAACATATCCCATAACCACAATAACGACGAAACCAGATAATAAATAAAAATTATATAAATTTTCAGCAGATAGTAAAAAAATGTGTTACTTTCGTAGTATTGAGATGGTCTGTGGTTTTCTATTGATGTTCAATTATATTTTATTGTTAATTATATTTTTTATATATTTTTATAAGTTAGAACTATAGATATTAATGTAATTAATGCCCTATGTTTTTCTGATGTGCCAAAAATAGATATCCCACATAGATTTAAAAAATCTACAACCGATATTCAGAAGCCTTTTTAGCCAGATATGGGGTACAAATCATATACGATTTTCGAAAAAAGGACTGCATATTCTTCCTGCTATTTTACAACATACCTACTTCCCGTTCCCTGGGAGTGAAGGGATCAACCACCGTCATAGAACAACCATCTCATGTTTCTCGGATCCTAAACTTAATCTGTATTAATCGAAATATGTTCACTGGTTTTAGGTGTGAAGAAGAGACAGAGGGACAGTCAGTTACTTTCACATTTTGTACACTATCTCGATCTAAATGATTATTATGATTATGTTCATTATCTTTTGTGCCATACCATAGCACTTATAAGCCGGCAAACGGGCAGACGGCTTACTTGATGGTAAACAATCGGCGCCGCCCATGGATACCCGCAACCCCAAAGAAGTTACGAGTGCGTTGCCGGACTGTCGGGGTCTAGGGATATAAGGATCGGGAAGGTTTACGGGAGGGATTGGGCCTCCGGTAACCTCACTTACACGGCGAATGCTGTGGTTGTTTTACGCTGTTATTCTGTGAGGCCGTGGTATCACTCCGGTCGAGCCGACCCATTCGTGCCGAAGCTTGGCTCTCCGGGCTCTCCCACACTTAGTAAGTTTTGCTGTTCCCAAAAATCAGTTGTGAAGTGATCGGTCGCGGTCGCAGCAATGGTGCGGAGCGAGAGGAACTGGGAAGCTGGTAATATAGGGCTGATATTCAGTTTGGGTTACGAGGTATGCGCAATGAGATATCGCAGCCTCGGCCTAAAGTAGGAGAAGGAACGGGGGTTTTTAGTCGGTAAGTCTGACACTCCCTTAGGGTGAGACACCCTGGGTGGTAGAAGTCATTTGATGAGTTCATACTAAAACGTAGTTGAAACTCAAACGAGAAGGGGCGGGCCACAGAAATTATCATAGACTAGCTTACGCACGGGATTTTAATAACAGCTGCGTAGTTCGACTAAATTACGTAAAGCAATAGTGTAATTTATTACCTATACCCCTCAGGGACACTATAACTATCTAGCAGTGAAAAAAATTTGAAAAAATAATATCTCTATAATATTAGTATAGAATTATGGATCAATGGTGGTGTTGAATCTCAAAAAGCATATACTCAAATTCACAAAAAACTGTGTCAAGTGTCAGCTGTCAAGTAAGTGTCAACATCTATTAGTAGAAATTGCGGTGGTTGTTGAGGTTATAATATTTAACAAAACTGTCTTATTATTAATACAGCAAATTAAGAAGGTATTTAATCCTTATTCAATATTATACACGAAAATTTGTGTGATTTATACTCGACTGCCAATAGAAGGGAATTTATTAAAATCTGATCCAGTTGGGAATGGATTGTTTTGATTAAATTTTTTATTTTTCTTTTAGGAAAGATGCAAAGAATTTTCTCTTTAGTGAAAACAATATCATCTGCTAGGATTGGTCCTGTAACTTATACGCAGATGCCGATGCTGAGTACCCTTCAACAATTTGCGAGGGAACGATTACTACAACCAGTGCTGCCAATAATTAATCCAGTTTGTGGTTTTAAAGTAAAGGGTCGCGTGCGGCGTCGTTGTAAATCATGCTACTTTGTTGTGAGAGATGAAAGATTGTATGTAATTTGCCCAAAATCACCCCGTCATAAACAGATGGCAATGAAGCCCAAACCATTAAATACTTACATGTTAACACATGCAAGCCAGAGTCCTGTACGACCATGGTGATGTTGACATTTATTTGTTACTACATATTGTATTTAGATATAGAAATTAATGTATTAAATTAATTTTAGTTACAGTATGTTTTTCCTTATTTGTAAATTACATAAATACAAGTTATACCTTGTACTGTATAATAATTCTGACAGTCCAATAAACATAAGGTGATATCTAAACCTTGGGTTAACTGGAGAGAGCTTTAGATTTAATATAAATGTTTTATGTTAATATAGAATTATGATGTTTTGAATTTAATTATAAACCTCTAATGAAGCCTTTATAATTATGCTGTCTTATTTATAAGGGGCAGAATATGCAACTTGCAAAAGCCAAGTCTTTTTATATCATTACCAGGATAGTAATTTATTAAATAATAATAATTAAATTTTTTTTAATGGCTTGCTCCACCCATTAATTGAATTTCTGAGTCAGTGAAGAGACAATTTGTTATGAAGCGCCGTGCAGAAGTGAGCTTACTTTTTGGAGAAACTGCTTTTAGGTACCTACTCGAATTCAACCCTGCATCACGGAGATGCGAGCCACCCAACATGAGTGAGTGATAAGGTTTCATCAATGCTCATTGCGTTTGATGGCTAGCAACAAAATTAGTAGAGTGATGCCTTACGAGATATAACTAGAGGACACAATGGAAGGGCCCATTGTGTAGCAGAAGTGTATTCTCTTACTATTACCAAACAGGTATCTAAAATTAGAAACTAAAAACAAACCCGTCCAACTAATTCTCAGTTGCGATACATTAAGTAGGTACCTACTCAACTCAAAATAATTGAGCCTATTATTATTGTCAATTTGCTCCTTCTATTTCTTGGAAGATCACCAGCTACTATAACACTAACTATACGAATACGACTTCTTTACTATTATCTACTTGACCCGACGTTTTTGGTTACGAATCTAAGGCAGACGCTCCGGGCGTCTTAGATAGTGTCACGATCTCCAGCCTTCGAAAGCCCGTGTACGTCACGATCCGCGCGTGCCTCAATGGCCCGTCAGCTAAAGTGAACTTTGTTGTGCGTCTTCTATCGCCCAGGTCACTGAGAGTGCTCTAAGGAATCGTCTGGTCACGTCACGTCATGGTAGGCTACCATGACGTGACGTGTTAAAGCGTCAATCTTCCGGGCGAGAAGGAGGGATGGAGCTATTAAAGGTATATAGCTCCATCCCTCTTCATACGGCAATATGTCTCTCAATACGTCATGGTAGGCCTACCTGATCTGCAGTGCCGGCGTAAGGGCCACTGATACCCCGGGCGAAAACATTGTGACGCCCACTTAAGGGAAGCAATATCAAGTATTAGTTTTTAGCTGATCCCAAGTAAACTTAAAAAAAATCTCAAAAGAAATATGCATATGCACAGTTCTGTGTGTTTGCACCAGGAGAGGCAAGATACTCAAACTTCAGATCTTGGCGCCCCCCAGATATTGTCGCCCTGGGCCATCGCCCCATCACGCCCTCCCCTAACGCCGAAACTGCTGATCTGTGCTGCATTCGCACTACATAAAAACAATTTCATACTTAGTAGGAAAATGTTGTCAATTTTCAGTTAGACCTCTATTTCTTTTAGCTAAGTATTTATTTGTCTTAATTGCATTAGGAATTTAAATTCAATAAAAATAACTTTAACTACTTCCAAATTTGTGTCGTTTGTACCTACGTACAAATTAATTAATCAAACTCCAAGCGAAAACTGTTCGCGCACTTTTCTTCTATGGTGTCTCGAATTATCACGATTGCAAGGTTAAAAAGATCTTACGACAATTTATGATAGGTAGGTACCTACTTACATTTATTTTATTACTTTAAAATTTTGTAGGTACCTACTGTTTCAAAAGTTTTTGTAACTGATTTCAATCTTTTTTTGACGAGACTTTTTTGAGGAGTGGTAATCTAAACAACAATAACCAACTTTTTTTTTCAATCTTTATTTAAAAGAGCTTAATTGCAATTACAAATATGTCGCTCCGTATTCAAAGCAAAAATAGATTAAGATATATTTAAAAAACAAGAATTAAGGCAAAGATGATCTCCGCCTTAGACCCTCTTTAACTAAACTAATAAGTACTTTAACTCTTTCATAAAGTGGAGACGATAGTAAATGTAAGTATATAAAAACCTATATTGTAACATTCTTTACCAAAAAAATCGGTGTCTTAACTCCTTATTCCGATCACAGTCCGCCAAAATATGATGTAGGTACATCTTCAACTTTACCGCAAACAAATAACCAACTTGTTTTCCGATTCGAGTTTTCTACACCCGTGTTTAAACGGTTTTGAATCCGAATCGGAATAGACACGTTACAGAATAGACGTGTTGAACCGTAGACAGAGAATAGAGCAGTTATATTCTCTTATTTCTCTCGTAGAGAGTAGTTATATTCCTCGGAATAGAGGAACACACAGATGTTGAACACACATCATCGTAGGCCACAGAGTAGGTACATTTTAGCAATAGAAATCGTAGGCCGAAAGAATATCAGACCAAAGAGTAAAGTAATATAATGGGGATAATGGGTATCAGATCACCTTTTGAATTTGACATTCATTGTCACAACTGATAATATCCTTCAAATATTGTAATTGTTGATTATTTACCTTAATAACAATAGGAATATATCGTATGAGGAATTGTTTTACTGTAATCTATGACCGTAATACTAAGGAAAACAATCCAGTAGGTCAGGGTTTACCTAATCATGATCGCGTGAGTTTATTTACCTACCTAAGTACCTATATTACCTATTTAAAGTCTTTCTCTTCACCATATAAGTATAATTATTGTAGCCCACTAAACTGTGAACCCCATTCATACATCGTGGGCCTTTGTGACGTTATTGCCACATCCAGTTTTCGTTAGGTACCGTTCTAATGAATTGAGATATTAAAACATGTAAAACGGATCATTGTTTCAAGATGATCGAGCATTGTCAGTTTGTACTTCGTTCAGAATCAGATGGGCTGACGATTACGACCACCCAGTTTTAATATTAATTTGTCTTTTGATTTTAGATAGGTAATATATGTAACTTGATGTTTTGTTGAACCTTTTATATGATTTTTGATAAGACAAATTGAAATGACCGGTCCTAGGTATTAATGTACTAATGTAAGTAATATTTGCAACGAGTCCAGTGTCGGAAAATATATACATATTCAGAAGTTGAGCTGTTTCTCCAAAATGCCAAACAACACAGGAAAAATGAATGCTCACAAAGTTACTAAGACTATAGTTACTTCGCCTCATATCTACAAACCCGTTGGACCCTACAGGTAACCCAACCTACTCTATTATATAAACATATCCCTTTTATAACATAAATTTATATTGCATAATGAAAAATTAAAGTTACTTCTTGTAAATTACTTATTCGTATTGCAATATTAGGTACCTAATATTACTATCTGCTATTCATTCAGTACCTAGATAAATAAACTGAAAGTGCAAAGTAAGGTACTTAGCTGTCGAAGGGAGATGATCCTAAGTAGGTATTAGGATTTTTTTTTTATTTCAGTCAAGCTATATTGGCGGATAAAACTCTATATGTATCAGGGGTGCTAGGAATGGATCAAAAAGCGCAGATAATATGTGGAGGTGCTGAAGCACAGACAAGACAAGCTCTCGAGAATTTGAAGCATGTACTAGAAGCTGGTGGTGCTTCGCTCCTATCTGTAGTGAAAACCACTATCCTTCTTGCACGAATGGAAGATTTCCAAGCAGTCAACCAAGTGTATGCAGAATGTGAGTATTAGGTATATCCACGGAATAGAAAATACAGGGTATATCCTACTACATAGTATATCTACAATGTAGACCCATCTTCTTAATAGTTCTATAAATGCGTTATTTCTGTCCAAATTATAGGTACCTATTATAAAAAGGAGTTATAAGTTTGTATGTAGATAAGGGTTATCTTTGGAACCTTTGGTCGTATTTCCAAAATTCTTTCACTGATTGATAGCTACAATGTTTTTGTGTGCTATGGGCTAAAACATCACCCTATGACCAATAGGAGCCCTGCAACAGGTAAACCGCGCAGCAATAGTTAGTTATATGTACGTACCTATACCTATACCTCTTACCTAAATATGTATACCTAGATAGGTACTTGAAAGTTAAAGTTAGACTTACACTCCTAATCATATACCTAAAACAAAATTTTAAGGGACCCTACCTATACCTAGACCATACCAACCTATACAAATCGTTGATTTACCTAAGTAAAATTGCTTTAGGTGGTTCAATTACAATTTGTATTCATTTGATACTATTATTATAGTGCCTCATTACTGACATAAATTATCTTCAAGCTAAGTTAAGTTTCTATCTCTGCACTCTTTTTGATCGTCTAATGACTTCCTCTTAGTTTGAGTATCAGATTGTTACAAACTTAAAACCACCTTGTTCCAACTTCTATTCCATGTCAGAGAATCATAACTTTAAGTGAGTAAGAGATTTACCTAATTTGAAAAAAATACCTTTTTACGTACATTCTTTTACACAAAAAGGGTATTGCGAAATTACATTAAAACAAAACGAAAAATACCTTTATTATTTAGATAGGTAATATTACGTTTTTATACTAACTATCGTGAAGTATACTAGATTAACTAAAAATATACTGAGAAAAGCTCTGCTAGTTTCGAACCACAGCAGAGGTGTTTTTCATCATCCCCTCCCGTCCCTGTGGTTCGGAACTAGTTAGAGCTTTTCTCAGGTAATAGTATGTTTAATATTATACACATAGTGTGTTTGTGATTAAAGAAAGGTAAGTCTTTATTCAACATTTAATTTAGGTACTATATTATATACTTAATAGCATTTTTAACTGCACGGTTGGTGCAGTAGCTAGGATACCGGCTGCTGTGCAACGTGTCGCATGTTTGAATCCCGCACGGAACAAATCTTAATGTGATCTACAAATTGTTTTTTCCTGTCTGGATACGATGTGTTTGTAAACGCATCCACGGCACAAGATAAAATACCACTGAAGGGCAATGATAGAGAAAAAAAAAGAAGTTTGTGAAGGAAAACGTGAACGAATTTATGAGAGTTTTTAAATGTAAATAAACTAAGGGATGAGTTGAATTCCTCCGTTTTAGTGTCCTTAAATGCACGCTCGCCTGTTTTCCAAACTCAGAGCTCCAGTCATAATTGTTTCTATAGTTTTAGCCATTATCTCATCCGTTTTTTCAGATCTCATTTGATTTCATTCTACGAGGTACTTAAAATTTATTTTCTTACATTCCTGACGTTTTAAAGCTAAACTTAACCAAAAGTAAAAGTACCTATTTTTCTATTGATCATTGGCATCTTCTCGACTGTTAGAGATAAAAAACTAAAAAACTACTTATCTATGATAGTAGTACCTATTGTCATCCTTTATACATTTGACACATTTTTTGGAAGTGTAAGTACATAAAATTCTAAATGATTCTTGTGTAATTTATCTTGTTATCACGAAACGAACCGTTTATCTGTTGTTGTAACATATCGAGTAATGAACTATTGACCCTACGCGCGTACCTACTTCGTTTATTCACAATGAGTGCAGAGGCAGACAAAACGGTTAAATTGGTTGAAACTGAACCAAAGCCGGACGCTCCCACTCCCGCTGCTGCTGACGCTGGAGCTGACCCAAAGATGGAAACGTCAAAAACAAACGCACACAAAGTTACCAAGACAATAATTTCGACTCCAGATATCTATAAGCCTGTAGGACCTTACAGGTTTGTAATTTTATATTTGTTTATTAATAATATAAAAACGAAGTACTTATGTTTTGTTTACTTATACCTATTGCATTTAGAAGAATCCATTTAAAAATAGCAGTGTAACATTTCTAGTCAGGCGATATTAGCGGATAAGACCCTTTATGTATCTGGGGTGCTTGGAATGGACACGTCGGCCCAACTAGTGAGTGGTGGTGCTGAAGCACAGGCGCGACAGGCTCTCGAGAACCTAAGACTCGTGCTCGAAGCGGGAGGTGCTTCTCTGGAGTCCGTTGTGAAAACCACCATCTATTTAGCGCGTATGGAAGACTTCCAAGCTATCAACCAAGTTTATGGAGAATGTAAGTACTTAGACTAATTTGTATTTTGATTAAAAAAAATTTCATGTTTATCCGACTTCTTTCCTAGAAGACGTAATTTTTATAGTATTAGTATGTAGTGGTTTTAATCATTAATATTTGATACACACATTTTCACCGTTACATTTTAGAAATTGATTTTTATCGATCAATTTTATTATATAAGCGATTTTAGTTTTTAGGTATGAGAATATAATTAAATTTAAGGCCAACGGCAGGCTTTATGGGAGTTCAGTACGGCTAATAATTTTTCGTGTTTTGTGATACTTTTCGCTTTAATTGGCAGATAATATGATAAACAAAACCTATTTAAAATCTTGGATTTTTAAAAATTGGGACGTACGAGTTATTGTTCGTTTTATTTTTAAAGGTTACTAAACTACTAGAGTATTAACTTAGATTATTATTTGAAGGTACATAAACATTATTTTGGTGATTCGAAGGTTGGCTATTCGGTTGCAAACTAGTGTTCCAACCATGGTAGCGAGAGGTGCGTTTTCCCAACGACCAAACTGATTGCGCGTTGCGCGACAAAAACTTAACACACAAAACAAGGTCATATTTGTTGGAACGCTAGTTTTCATCCATCTAGTCACTCAATAATGAAGTATTAACTGGGTTTAGAGTATACTTATAAAAATATTTTAGTGTAGGTTTAATGTATATACGTCTTTAATTATGTTACTAGTTATTCCCATTTCTAAATAAATATTTATAATTCCGATATTTGTCTTATTTTACAATGGCAACTTCTCAAAACATGACTGCGTTTAGATTACAATTTTAGTGTTTTTGTTTATTGAAATCTTTTTATTGAATTGATATATCTAATTAATCCCAGCTTCTAAAAATAGAATAATTACATAAAAATTAAAAGCTTGGCTGTCTTAATAAGTGGTATAATTCTAGGTCTAGGTCTTAATAAGTGGTATAGTCTAGTACATAACATTAAAAAAAGTATGCGGTACAGGGCCTGCAGTTTGCCTTTCGGAAATGTTCTTAATTTATTTTAAAGAACTAAGTTTAATTTAAATCGCTTAAGTAGTGTATGATTTTCACTTGAATATTTGCATGCAAACCGGTGTGGTGTCAACGATCTTGACATGGATAGAACATCCAACTGCATACAACTGCCTAAAAAGCTATCAGCTAGATTCATCAGCATACATTAAAAGTCCTGTACAACTTCTGCCAATGACAACGTCATTTACAAATCTCAAGTTAACAGATACTTTCCGTATCCATCTTTTCAGTACAGCCACAGCGTCTTTCATGGCATTTGACAAAGAGAAATTTCAGAGAAAAGAAGTCGCCTCGTCTCACTTAGTCTTAGTCAGACCATCTTACAAATTTCTCAGTGCTTGAATGTACCGCCAATCGACTAGTCACCATTTCATGAACTCCAGAACAAATCCAGGTTTCAACAGAGACAGCCTTTTCAATATTGATTGACACAAAGATTGAATAATTTAATTTCGATAATAACGTACACATATAAAACTATAACTAAATTTGTTTCGATTTGAGATGATTAATGATTAAACAAGTTTAAACCTTAGTGGTTTTTTGGTTACTATTAATAATCATGTAATATTTGTCAAAACGATATATAAAAAAAAAAAATCTCTTAGTATACAAATGTCAAGCGTAATGGCTGCTTATACTCATCATGTATATTCACCTATCCTCCTCACGCCCCAGCCGCTGCAGAAGGCCATATTCCGGGAGATCGAACGACGATCTCCGGCCACCGTAATCACGGGTCTGCGGTCGGCGAGCAAGGGTAGCTACTAGCTACCCGCCCAAACAGAATCAGACCTGAGAGTAGGGCGCATAGAGTTTCGCGCGCGCCTCAGAGTCAGTACACTATCACTGAATCAGCTAAATCTGCAATCAGTGGGTGTTATCAGCGATGACCTATGGGAACTGAAACGTGGTCTCTAATTATGGGCCTCGTTATAAAAGTCACGGTCACTCAGCGCGCTATAGAAAGGGCTATGCTCGGTGCCCACGCGAGATCGAAACAGAAATATGGGGATATGGAAAGGAGCAAAGTTGCTGATATGGTCTACCGAATGAACAAGCTCAAGTGGCAGTAGACGTTTGACAGAGCTGATCCTCGAAAGGACGCAACGCACTGACAAGCGCGCCTGTACTGCCTAGCTTAGTACGTCTGCCCACAAAGAGGGCTGACGACCTGCTAAGGGTTGCAGAAAGCATAAAAAGGCTCTGGAAGACAAGCAAGGCTGTTCTGCAGTGTCCTATTGCCGATATGATGATGACGACAAGGAAATTATACCTCAAGTGTCCACAAACCTTTTTATGCGACTAAAATATTATCCTTTATTTCTAATAATATATCGCGAAAAAGAACAAATTCGTGTTTTAAAGCATCCAAATTAACAATGAAAATTGTTAATAATTTGAGTGTTTTCTTAAAATCATTCATTTTATGCATTTATTCATAGATATACCACATCACTGCAAAACAAAGGAATTTGCGATCACGGTCACTGAATAGCACCAGCGTAGTTGAACTGTTGTTTCAATCAGTTTTACTTTAACTTGCACCTTCGTTATCTACGTACAAAGGAAACATGAAAGTTCTTTATGTTCGTGTTACTATGCAGATAGCATATTACGATGCGAGCTCTATTTTGGCTTTGAATTTAGGTCTCTTTCCCTTTTTGTTTTATTTTATATAATTTGAAAAAACTATATAAACTATGCACCCGTAGTGGTACATCGGTAGTGGCTTACTTGTTTCTATAATATCGATTGTTGTTAATAATTTTTACAATGTCGTGTTAAAAGATCTGGTTTTGTACACAAAATTATCAAAATATAGACACATTAGCATCTGCCTGCGGCTTCGCCTACGTGGTATGTTAAAGCAACCTATGTTTTAATCCAGAATATCACTTATCTACATACCAAATTTTTAACAAACCGGTCCAGCCGTTTTTGCGTGAAAGAATAACCAACATGCATCCATACATTTACACAAACTTTCACATTAATTCAGTACGATTTATGAAGTCTTCGATTTTCAAGAAGAATACCGAAAATACCACAAAAACCATTTTTTTAAAGATCTCATTTTACTTTTTAAGACCCATTTGACATTTTAAACAATATTTTTATCTTTATTTCAACCGCTTTATCTTGTGTTGATGAAAAGGCAACTTATATAAAAGTGTCTGAGTATACTCTTGGTAGACATAAACAGCTTATTCAAACCTTGACCCAAGTGACTTGATGTGCGTGGCTATACTGATAGTACCTACTTACAAAAATGTTTCGGATAATGTGCACTCTTTAATTCATGAGTAGGTAAACTAAAATATGTCTTAAAATAAATAAGTGTAAAATATGAATTAAAGTTACATAAATTATATTAGGAGCAAATGTTATTTTATATCCCTTATTCCTAGTTAGATATTGATGTCACCTATATTAATGCATTTTTATTACATGACTAGAATTATCTAATAAAATATTGCTGCTGCTTGTTCTTGACCATAAGACCCGCAGACAAATATATACATTAGGGTGTCCCAGCCTATAAGGGTATACATATTTACGAAGTGACGTGAAAATTGATGCTTCAGTTAAATAAATAATTTGCCCTTCATTTTGTTAGCGTGGAGCAATTATTAATGAAAAATGAATACTTTTATAAAGCTTATTTTTCTTGATCCCTTAGATCCACTAGATGATCCAATAATTATCACCTTGCTTCCTTTTTTAATACAAACTTTTTTGTCTTTCAGTTTTCCCAAAAGATTGTCCGGCGCGAGCTACCTTCCAGGTGGGTAAACTTCCCATGGACGCGGCAGTCGAGATAGAAGCAATTGCACTGAGTGGAGATCTGGTGATCGCGGAAGCAGGACCCTGCCCATGCGCGCGTACTTAGTAAGGACATTACTCGCCACAAACTAGCGCCTTGCAGTATGCAATATCTTTGAATATTGATTCATACGAAATCATTACCAGTCCATTATTTATTTACACATTTGAACTGAAGACCTTGAATTTTGCAATGCGATTTTGGAATCTAAATCCGGCTCTAATTATTATTGTTCATTGTTTTGAACAACACGAAAATACCATTGGTATTTAAATGATTGTTTCATACGTAATATTAGACATTTATCTTACATAATAACCTGTTGAATAACTTTGTTAAATAGTTATTTAATACTGTTGTATAACAATGATAATATTTTTGTATTATGTATAAATTATTCGTATTAAACGACTTAATAAACATATGTGTAAGTTTATTCCGAATCAGAACGTATTTACAATCTTGAGTATATTTAAAATCAAGAACTGAACCCCAGTGTAGTCGCAAACGCTGAAAGTAACTTTCTAGTTGAGACAGACGTAAACATTTAATACATTAGAAAATTCAAAGACATGAAATATTATCAATTTATATTTAGTTAAAAAATACTTACCATACACCTGTCTTCATAAATAGGAAACGATTTCTTGATAAACACCCTAAATCTCATTTTAATAAACTTAAAGTTTCTAGGACGATATCGAAAAGGTCAAGTAACTAAATAAAATAATTTAAAATATTATACCTAGGTATTACCTACTTAAAAGCGTAATTCATCAAGTTTAATGGCACATTCAGAATAACTCGTCGCCTATTTTATAGATTTAAAAAAATAGGAGAAACAGTTGTGTATGGGTAGGTACTTAAGCAATAATAACATTAGCCAACTACTTTCTTTTAAAGGTTGAAGACCTTGCACGCTATATACCTTAATAACTAAACTACAATGTTTGTAGCGGTATAAAAAATGTACAGGAGCCATGATTTTTTTAGTAAATCATTTAACAGGTTGATGTTTCATGGTCATATTTATTTTGTCATAAGTTTATTTACTTAATCTTACTATAATAAGTATTATATTTGTTTTTGATATTTGTAACATAGAATACGTCTTTTCGTTCAACAAACCACAGTGATGTATTCAAGTTGTTTTTTTGTATGGCTCTTATTTGGCGATCTATAGAACCAAAACGTGGTCTCTCACTATGGGCTTAATACGAAAGCTCAATGTCACTATGCGTTCTATGGAACGGCCTATGCTTGATGTTTCTTTGCGGACGAACAAGCTGGCATAGCTCATCGGATTAGTAAGCTGTAGTGGCAATGGGCATATAGCTCGTAAAAACGACATCCGCTTTAGCTGGAAGGTTCTCGAATGAATGAAGTTACCCTAAAACAAGGCGGATGGACGACCAAATTAGGGTTCAAGGGAACTGCTGGAGTTAACTTGCAACCGGTCTATCTAGAGATCTTTGGAGGAGGCCTGTGGACAGCAGAAGAGGTCTTGTGGCTGATGGAAATGTCCTTACGTATTATTCTGCAATATAAACTCTTTCAGTGTCTTAATGCAACTACTAACCTAACCTTTTCGCGTTACTCTTGATCTTTAGATCGCCTTTTGGCTATTACCTCTCCAAAAGCTTTATTTATTTAAACAACATGAAGTTTCTTAAATGCCTTATAATTAAGTTAACTACATGCAACCGTATTTATTATTCAAATAAATAAGATACTATTTTTAAATCTGTGACCTAGAGCGGGGGTGGTCATGAAAACGGTAGTTTACCGCGCGCCTTTTGTAGGGAAAGCAAGATAAAGTGCGCTATACCCATGCGATTGGCCCGTTAGTTATAAAAGTCAAATATTGGTTTGGACAGAGCTATTTGCTTTTAAAGGTGGACCACATTATTGTTGTCTCTTTTAGGTGCAAAGGGGTTTTTAGGATCGAAAGTACAAAGTCAAGATTTAATAGTTTCCGCCATTTAAGTGTATTAACACTTTTTTATTATTATTATAATAGGTTCACCAACAATTGTTTACACAATTTCAATTATAAAGTAGGTACATGCTTTACAAAATATTAAAGTGTAACAATCACTTAAAGGTGAACACCACTTGCTTAAATTAATATCAAACCAAAAGTGAAAGAGAAGCTAGATAGAACTTAAATTAAGTTAACCAGAAATTACACATGACAACGATAGAAAAACTTAATACACTTGTATTATTAAAAAGTGTATTAAGTGTGTGTTCAACATAAAAAAGCCAATCAATTATTTTTTTTGGTTTGGCCAGCAACTCGACTCGGTGGTAAGGGATGATGTGGCTGACTAGGGTTAGCTAAGAATTGGTGCTTCGTATGCCTTTCTTGCGATACGTTATATTTATACACACATTTAGAAAAATAAAATGCCCTCTATAAGCAATGTTTGTAACCATACTTACCATAGTAAAATAATAATAGGTACTTACATTCTATCCTTTCTATGATACGCGAAAAGAAAAAATGTTGCGACTTACTGTAGCGACTTGTCGTAAAAATATATCGCACCAAGAATGGGCTAATATGAGGCATGAGTTAGGCGGAGACGGCATAATTTATACGTGTATGTCGGTACGGGGTAGCGGCCGTAAGCCAGGTATTGCGTGTGTTTAAGAACAAAGAGCTTTTGCCGTTAACCAGCCAGTAAGCTTTATTTGTTAACCCCACTCACATATTTATAGCCGGCCCGTTGTAATTATAAAACAAAAGAATTGTGCGCAATAAGAACTTGTTTTTATTTCGAATTAATGTAACACAACATCAACTTTTTATCTCCGAAGGAGTTACTGGTATAAGTGGTATATATTATTATTATGTAACATATACTTTCTCAACGTTCAACAAAGCAGTCAGTAGCGTAGTAGGATATAAGTATTAAATTCGTATTGTATTAGATTCGTTTTATATTAGGATTTATCCTTTTATCTTCCATAAAAATATGTTTGGATACACAATTAAATAAATATATAAAGAAAAAAAATAAAGTGAATTAAGGAAAATGTATTGACTGAAATAGGTGGTACATCAATCATGATTTTGGCTTTGGTGATCAAAGAATTTTTGTTTTGAGAAGCAGGTCCTTCGTTTATAGATACTACAACATGTTGAGGCGGCAGTCCTGCCGCATGGTTACGTACCGTGCGGCAGTAAGGATTTATTTTAAAGATGAGACTGAGTTACAATACTTTATAGATAGAATCACACACAATAGTCGCATCGTTTATGTAGCAATGTAGCAGCAGCGTAGTCGCTATGGTCATGCAGAACCGTAGCAGTAACGTAGTCACTACGTTCATTTAGGAACGTAGTTACAGCGTAGTCGCTACGGTCATGCAGAACCGTAGTAGCAGCGTAGGCGCTACGTTCATATAGAAACGTAGCAGCAGCGTAGTCGCTACCGTCGTGTAGAATCGTAGCAGATCCGTAGTAGCTACGTTCGTGCAGACCCATAGCAGCAGCGTAGACTCTAGGTTCATATAGAAATGTAGCAGCAGCGTAGTCGCTAAATTCAAACAGGCAGTGGAGACGCTACGTTTGTGGAGCAACGTAGCAACTGGTTAGTCGCTACGTTCGTGGAACAACAATACATTTTCTAGATAAAATATCTGTAAAAAATTGCTTATGACATTATGAAACCGCAAATTTTTATTTAGAACTGACTAAAGTTATCATTTTGAATATATTTACCAATCATTAGCGGGAACATGCTTCAAGCCATATTTGTGTACACTAACTAACTAGTCTAGGACTGGCTCTTGTATCAAGGCCTTAATAGCCCGCCTAACGCTAGCCAACAACCCACTATCCTACACAACTATCGGCTCGATGGTAGCCGAGTCCACACTTCACAATCGTGTCTACAACCTTGTGAGAGGTTCTCGATTTACATCGCCTGTCGGTTTATTACCACTATATCAGGTTTATAATCTTAGTCAGTGATGATAGACCGATACAACATGATACAACGTGAAATGACCATACTCCAGAATTTTAAATAGGTCGGAATAATCTTTTCTATCTGATTATGCCCAAACTATTATTAACCAGACTACAAGCAGAAATGCAACGACCAATATTTTACCGGAAGCATAACATGCCTCACATTATGTCCCACCTTTTATAATTTATTTCCGGTAGTTATTCGCTAGGATAACTTTGTCCGTAATTACAGAGTTGAGTCATTCAGTATCTACTCTACGCCAGTACAGGATCTACACTAAGGCTTCCGAGGGGCCTGTAAGAAACGTCTTCGTCATCCTTGATCGGCCGTACTTAATTACATAGGTATAATATATCACACTATTGTCAAAAAACTGACGCTCAATAAATATTAAACTTCCAGAATAATGAATATAACTGAAGACAGAAGTTTTAAGTATCACCTATTCTAAAAGGATGTACGTAATGTTTTATTCATTTATTATTCACTAGGCGATATGTATAGTAGGTATATGAGTGAAAGATGGTAGTAATGGGGGGATTTCAGGGACGGCGCAACAAGTGCAGGACGATATCACTACACCCTCGTAATAATTGGTAATAAATACAAGTAATAGCTTTCTTAAGATGATGAAAATCTTTCTTTTTTCTTCTCATCACTTAACTACAGAAAAATATAAATCAAAAGTTCAGAAAAAAGAAATCTGATAAAGCTGAGTGACAACAGCTTGTAGAATAAAATTCTTACAAATGTATAACGAATACAACTTGAATTAACAATCCAAACGTAAAATAAATTCCTTATAGTTTGTACTTAAATGGTCAGATTGATCCATCATAGCACAAACGAATTATTGATTGAAACTATGTGTTTCACGTGAATCTATTATTAGGTTTGCAATCTATCTATTTGTGTTGTGTCTAAGGTTTATTATGGCTCACAACGCAAGTCATGTTATAGCTGTAAGCATGACGCCTCTACTTTGACGTCACCACTTTGAATTCTTTTACCACAAAAACAAAAGCCTTTGTTAACTATTAATAGCTAGATTGGACTTTTGATATTAACACCGCGAACAATTCTATTTTATTGTTCGCAATAGCTCGCACTATTCTTACATGTTAGCTACTGTTACCAGTCAATAGCAGACAATGAAAGAACACCTGAAGATCGTAACCTGCAAAAGGAATCTGTAGTTCTTAATACGAGTTTTCTTCTGCTTAGAAAAATTTTACAGAATGTAGGAAATCTTAATCGGTTTATTAAATAGGAATCGAGGTTTTTAAACTTCACGTGCCTGAAAACATGACACTAGCAAAACGTATGCTACTTAATTTGGGAACTTTAAGATATAGATTAAATAATAAACTGTAATTTAACACTTTTCTAATACAGTGGTAATTTACTGTGACTTCATGGCATTGAACCTTCATAGCCAAATATGATTGAAAGCTTATATGAAAGCTTAAAAGGTCGGGGTAACCGACCTACCTACAACAATATTATAACTTTTTTGGTTTGCTGTATACATAATATTTGTACTCTAAGGTTGATTGTAGACCAAGGCAGAACATATCAAATCGCATAATTTAGATCCGCATCGCAAGAAGTTACTTTGATAACGGTACAGACTCGCCCGCAACGATGGATCCTCAAGAATATTAAAGGTGAGTTTTAAGTGACGTAAGCTCTTAGAAGTTTCAGTAAAATACGTTTACTTGACGCAGGTGCCAAAAACTTACTGTTGTCAGTCTAGCAACGACGTGCCTATTTAACTCATAATATAATACTAACTTATAATATACGGTTCGGTGTTTAAATAAATTAATACTCCCAAAGTTGGCTACTTTTTATGGCCTTTATATACAAACAGAGCTCCCAAAGATTATTATGATTGGAAAATTAATAGGTACTCTATAAATTAATTAAACGGAAGAAAGGTCTTTGAGTAAACCATTTGCGAGTCAAAGAATGTACTATGTTCGTTTAATAGGAAAAACGCGATGGGGGTGCGAGGTCAGTTTAACGGGCTGCCTCCTTCCATAATAGGTAGGTAGCCACGATACGATCTTGGGGAGCCGTGTAGCCGTCAGTCGAGCCGAGTTGCTGCGGACGGGTGGTCAACCGTCGCCCGGGATAGCAAACAACATCGCGACCAATTTTCTCTCACTCTTTCTCCACCATTTCCTACACGAACTGATGGACGCTGCCTAAGATTAATCTTTCTCACTTTCCCGATCATGGGCTGTACAAGCAGTGCTCCAAACATGGTCAACTCAAGCAAATCAGGTGGGTATGGTAATGTGACATTTGAGAAACTCTTTCCATAGTTGCAAAGCATTAATAAAGTCGTGCTGTACTTTAACAGACTTTGTTTAAGAGCTGACTAACTAATGAAATTTTATACTTAGTCAAGCAAATTGTGTACTTATTTTTCATAAAAGTTCCATTTATGAAAAATAAGTACACAATTCCGTATTAAATCCGATTTACGTGACTGAAATCACCCATGTAGGTACTAATGTTATCATGAAGCAATAATTCTTCTACATGACATCATATACAACAGGATATTTATTTAAGTCAACCTGATATTTTTTTCATGTATCTTATTATTAATAACTTGACTATTCTACGAGTATTCATAAGAATACAATTGAAAATTCACGGTTTCTCGTATGGATTAGTGTTTAGAACGATGACGGATTAAAAGTTTTAATCTCCTTAAAAAAGGTATGATGCTGAACGCGCCATATTACAAAATTAATATTTTTGAATCCAAAATTATGCAATCCAAAATATGAAACCAAACTAGTAAATATTTTTTCGCTCACATTAATAAATATAATAAAAAATGAGTGAATATCCGTTTCTAGTATCTATAACCTGAACCCACATTAGTTTTCACACACATTACCCACTTAGAGTTTTATCAGGAACTATGAGATTGGTCGTAAATCATAAAATTGGTCCTAATCCTAGGAACAAAGTAGTCGACTAATTAAGATTTTCGCTCAGTCTATTTAAAAACTTTTAAAGAACACTCGTATTTGCGTTACTATTGTATTTAAAAATATTTGGCATGTAACTAATTAACAACATTGTGTTAAAAATATATACCTAATATTTTTATATTTATTTTTCAGAAAAAAGCATTCAGTTTGAAGAAGATGCGAGCGATATCCAGTCTCGAGATACGGAAGAAATAATTTATAGAGCGGGCAATGATTCAGACGAAACAAACGAGCTTCCACCGTGTGATAATTTATCAGAACATAATATAAATGTAGTTAGAAATATATCTACTTCTAGTTTAAAAACAGAAAAAGGTATTGTTACCCTTAATGCCGTTGACTTGGCATCTGTTTATGTGTTGGTTAGGCATCGATATACGATACAAGTATTCGAACATAATCTAAGGTAATTTATTTTGGGCCCATTAGCGTTTCGTAGTGTTTGTCTCAGCATTTCATTTCAATTGCAATCTATTTCTTTTATGGCGGTACAAACACTTAGGTGTTAAAATAGATTTTGGCTGATACCTATATGTATGTAGATCCTTGTAGCGAACCGGCCATTTGCCTTTTTATAGAAACGAATAAAGGACGTATCTACCTAAACCTTCAAGAAAATAAAAAGCGATACCTGCGCTTGGTATCGTGTGATAAGGCAGGCGTGCAGTTCATGCATTCACCACATTATAAGTGCGAGTTTAACATAGCATAGCGTCAGAAGTTCTTAGTTTTATATTAGTTGCATATCAAGTCGGACGACAGACTGTGACCTTGTCCACAATTCATGTTTATACAACCTTGGGAGAAATGTAATGTGTTATCACCGAAACTGCCATTTACTTAATGACAACTAACATGGGATAAAAAAGGACTTCCTATCTCTTTAAACTTACTCAAATAAATATAACGATTTCAGACGACCAAGCAGACAGACAAAGTAGTGAAATAATACTTAACAAAACAGTATCCAGCGCTACACTACACGAAGAAGAAAGTCCGCCTAAACTAGAAGAAGTAGTTGAGAAGGTAGTAGAACTACATTCCACAGAAAATCTTACTGAAACCAAAGCTGATGAAACTGTAGAGAAAACAGTGACTCTAGAAAGTGACGATAACACAAAAGAAAGTAATGTCCAAGAAAGTAAAGCACACGAAGATGCAAAACAGGACACACAAAAGTAAGTAGGTACTTACTTGTTTATTTTAAACTACCTAGCTTCCGCCAGCGGCTTCGCCCGCGTGCTGTGTTGATAAAAAGCAGCCTATGGCAATATAACAAAATCGAAGTATACATAAAATTTGTTATAAATCGTCTCATTTTTAAGGGTACATCTTCAATGGGTACCTAAATACCCTATTACTTAGTATGCCTTCGCTTTCCCTCCGTCCATAGATAGAATAGTACGGATCTACCCAATGTATGTATGTATGTAGAATATTTCCGTGATACATAATTCCTATGTAACTTTAACCATTAAGGCTACACACGCGACGGAAACTTAAAAAAGGGAGTAACTTCTCCCGTTTTCCCAACATTTCCCTTCACTGCTCTGCTCCTATTATTTGTAGCGTGATGAAAATTATCCTATAGCCTGCCCAGGAGTATAAAGAATATTTATACCAAGTTTTGTTAAAATCCGTCGAGTAGTTTTTGTTTCTATAACGAACATACAGACAGACAGATAGACAAAATTTTTTCAGAATCAGTTTCGATCACTTATCGCCCCCTGGTAGTTATTTAAAAAATATATTTAATACATATACATTCCTCCCTCTCTATTAATCTCTTTTTCGCTTTGTACCATGATTGATGCATTATCACCTTTTTTTGTGAGAGAAAATTCATCAAATGACTTCTCCCGCTCAGGGTGGGGCGGGAGGGACTCAGACTCCCACGTTCCTTCTCCTGCCTTAGGCCCAGGCCGCGGTGACTTATTGCGCTTGCTCCGCAACTCCGGCTGCTTGCCCCGCAACCCCGTCTGAGATTATCACCTAAATTAGGTAGTAGCTCAATTAGCTGTGAACCACGTGAGAAGCCATCCCAAAAAAGTCAAGTAGTTTCAGAGCATATTTAATCCAAACGAACAAACAACAAACAGTCCAATTCATAACTTTCCACGTCCAACATGTTGGGCGTATGTAGTTAAAGAGTTAAGAGCACGCACGCAGTTTCCGCGGCCCGGGTTTTTACAAACTTCGTCCAACTATGCATAAGCATTCGTGCTGAAGCAAGCTATGCTTCGGCACGAATGCTTCGACCGGTCTTATATATCAAGCCTTTCCAAAAGACCAACAACTTAACTAGTGTTGTTGTAGTTGTTGTATAGATTCCTAACCATCAGTCCATAGTTGCGTTTTCTCTGACATGTTTTATAAAAAAAAGTTCATGTTTGTTTGTATCTATGTTTTCATGCAAAACTTAAATCACGTGTAGCTCTGTTAAAGTATTTTGGAAAATAGTCACGAAAGTTCGGTAGTATTTCGTCCCTGTGCTTCGGAAAGTATATTAAGCCGTTGATGCATCTGATCTCTCTGGATTACCTAGTCATGTCGGTCTACCGTCCCATCGGATTCAGAGTTAAGCTACCACAGATGAACTCAGACTTCGACAATTCGTCTGTCTTTAACGATATTCATACCCTATAACCTAACGATATTCACTGACTGCACCAGTGTTAACTCAGTGGATAAAGTTTTATTAGATTTCTAGACAAGGTCTAAATATATCAACATACTTACCTACATAGGTAGGTGGTTTTATTTTGTATACCTACGTAGTGACCACAGAGAAATCATACCTACCTACTATCTGACCTATGTACTACACTACACGAGTATCTAATACGTTTGTGATTGTGAAATCACACTAGGTACATTTTAGCAAAAATATGATAATATTATTTTTCATTACAGTGAGGATTGCCCTGAAGAAGCTACAAGCCCAAGCCAATCCGAGAGCAGTCGGGCCACGCGATGGGAAGCACTAGCGGATATAGCTGCAGAACTACCGCCGTCTCTCACAGTAGATCCTCTTACGGGACAAATTTACGCGCTTTCTAAATAAATGTTGGTTTTTGTAATAGGTAACATGTTTCATTTTTTTTTATTTTAAAATCCCTTTCCTTGTTTCAACCTACCCAATCAAAACCACATACTTTATTCTTCTGTTTCGGATCCAGCGGGAGGAAACAAACGAGTGTCGTCATTGTGAGGACCACCTGGAGGATAAGGTGGCGGTATGCCCTGCCTGGACTGAGCACCGCCGTGTCCTCAGGGAATGATCGGCGGTGGCGACTTCTCGCGCCCGGCCATAGTCAAGGCCATGGTGCGGAGCGAAAGGAACTGAGACGCCGACTCCGTCTTCTGTCAAGCAGTTATACTCGCAAAGAGGGAGGCGGCCCGCGTGAGGGAGCAATCCTCCTCTTCACGCCCCAGCCGCCGCAACAGGTGACACTACGGGCGTCGGGGATCAAGGGACGATCTCCGCCCACCCTAAGCGCGGGTCTGCGGTCGGCGAGTAAGGGCAACTCGCCGCCCGACCATAACCAGACCCGAGCGTACAGCGCGTAGCGTTCCGCGCGCGCCTCAAAGAGCCAATAGACCGCCACAGACGGGGCCCTATAGAGCTGATGTTCAGCCGGGGTTGCGGGGTAAGCGCAATCGGTACCGCAACCTCGGTCCAGAGCAGGCGAAGGAACAGAGGAGTTTTTAGCCAGTAAGAGATTGACACTCCCTCCCGCCCGGCCCTGGGCAGGAGAAGTGATTAGAAATGCTTTATTGTTCTTTTGCTAATTCAGAGTTTGATGATTAACATTTAGGGGTCGTTGCCCTTTTTATAACGGGAGAAGTCCTCTCGCACTACCGCCACCTGTGGAAAGGCGGAGGGTCGTGCTGGTCCGGGAAGGCAAATCTGAACGTTTTCCGGCCATTAGTTTTACTATGCTAAATCCCGATGGACTTTAGCTGACAGAATGTTTATTGACAACTGGACATTTGGCTGAACTTTACTTAAACAAGAATAGTGCAAATATATGAAACTACCATCACCTTCTTAGACTACTCTTTATAGATTATTCTGACAGTTGCAACTTAACAATAGAAATTAAAATATAGGTAGCTCCATACAAGCAACACACTGAAATGTTTTAGTTTCTCTACAAAAATACATGTAACACTTAATTTTTAATTTTTTTGTTTTATCAATAAAAAGTTGCCAATAATTACTTACTGGTTAAATAAAACACAAGCTATTTTCTGTAAATATAATTTAAACTTAACAACTAACAACAACATTTGAGTTAATTAAGTGCTCTTTACTTTCATCAATGCCAAACCATTGTCGTCTGCAGTCCCACCAAACACTACAACACACAAAGATGGCTGCTCTAGATGGTCCCAAATAGATTGAATCCAAGTGTCGATTTTCTTAATTAATTCTTCTTCTTTATCATCCTCCGGTTCACATTTCAGGTGGGCCATAGTTAAGTTATAATCACTAACAGATTCTTTGAATGAAGTAATCACTTCTTCAACAGTATCCACAGTAACTAGCTTGATCTTCTTAGGCTTCCCTTTCTTCAACTGTGCAGACATGCTCTCCTTGGCTTGTGTTAAATATGTATGATAGTCACCAGTTATATCATCACAGCCTATTATAACAGATGATTTCTTTTGCTCCAGCATGTGATTGAATATTGATAAGGCATACTGTGGTGTTTTCACCATTTTGATGATATTTTCTTTAAACTTTTCTCTGTTTGTATGTACAGCATCACCAAACTCTATACTATTGCTAAGTTTAAGTTGAACTAACTTTAATGCTGCTAAAGAGTCTTCAGTGGAACAGTGACCATCTGTCCCCATCTGAATATTTTCTTTCAAAAATTCTCTAGCCAATGTTTTAAGTTTTGGTTTGCGAGTTCTTTCTCCAGTAAAGTTATACAATAAACTAGTATCTATTATGTAAGGATGCATCATTTTTAAAGCATGCATGTCTGTATTTAATGACTGCCCTACTAAAATTGAATCAGGAGGTAATAGTGTTCTTAAGTCATTCTGTACATCTTCTAAACGTTTTGTTACATTATGTAATAGAGATTTTGTGATTCCTGAAAACTTGGTTAAATAATCTGTTATATCATTATAAGGTTTCACTAATGACTCATATATCACTTCATGTTTTTCATTTACCACAGATATCCGTGTCAATTCTGAACCAGCATTAGTTAAACACATTTCACAGTCTATACCAAACATTGGAGAAGATGGAGTCACAGGTGCATATTCATCTTTTGTGAGTACGTAATCAGCATAAGCAGCACTTAGTTTCCCCTTCAACGGTACTGGGTAGTTCTCTTCAATTAATTGCCAAGCTGACAACACTAACTGAGTTCTAGGAAATTTATCTTCAGTAGTAAACTCAACTTTATCACCACTTCCATCTCCAATTGGAAACACAGCCTTCATCATTATCATCAAATCTTTTCTTGCTTGAAGAGCCAAATTCATACTTCCATATTTCTGAATGATGACATCTTTTTCAGCTTCGGACAAGGGAACCAGTGCAAGTTCTTCAACTAATGAACCCCCATAAACAGAGGGAGTTAAAACTTCCACAAAATCCGTGAATATCTCTTTAGTGTTACTTAATTCATTTGAGTACTTTTCCCAATGCTTAATAGATATACCCTCTAAAATTAAACATGTTGTTTTTTTAATTGACTCACATTTTTCTAATGCATACCAACGTGGGGATTCAGTTAGGTTGAGGTTACCAAGTAGAGAGTGCAATAGCAAATATTGTACATCAGTGAGTGTTAACGGAACTCGTTCACTATCTCCAACAGATAACGAAGCCTTTTCTCCATTGGTCTTCAATCGAAATTTTGGAGATGGTTTTTTCCGTTTCCTTATTACTTTTTCAGAAGCTTGTAGATTATGGGAATTTTCTGAAGGTGATTCAACATCTGTAAATTGATATAAATGTTGGTTATAGGGACACAACTATAATTATGCCAATTGTTAAATAATTGGTGTTTTGTTACGATAAGTGAATCAGTAGTATGTTGGTTTTAATTACTTGCTACTACGCAAGGCTTATAAAAGCTGATTCAAATATTGTTAAAATAGTATTTGCCTATTTTACCATCTTCATTTAAGTTTCCAACAAACTTATGTGACACTTAGTTCAAACAAGTTACGTTATATATTCTAATTTATCTGGTACATAGCGGCTATGTAACCATATTTTGCAGCAGTAACGTAAGGTATCTAAATTACCACTGAAATTACCAAAAACTGAACCAAATTACATGAACTTACTTTTAGGGGATTCGTTGTGAGCGCGGCGTTTTTTTGAAGAAGGGGTCTTGTCGCAATCGTCTTTACTCATTGTTATGAGAATTATAACATTATTGGCTACTACAATTTTAATATATATCAGGTAAATTGATATTTATTTTATATTTATTTGACGATTATGTGGAATCGGATGGTATCCTACTTGCAAAGAAGCAGCATGCTCGCACGTTTCTAATGTCATGTCAGTAGGTATCCGTCACTGTCAGTCAGCTGTCAAAGGGGAAAAACTGATTAAAGGTGGAAATATACTTATGTTGGAGTGGAGTCATAATGGTCCTATAATAGTGATATCGCCAACCTATTTAGTAGAACCTTTAGGGTTGAGTCCTTTAGTGTTGGGGTTCGAACGTGCCTATTAGGTTGTATTTACACTACTACACTTGAGCGCTTGCACAGGGGCCTGCAAGCGCCCGACCGACCCGACGAGGCGGCGGCAGAGGGTCATGGCCATCCGCATTATCCGGGGCTATCGCATGATCTCTAAGGATGCGGCAAACCTCCTTGCCGGATTACCGTTATGAGATCTGGAGGCGAAGTCATTGTGAGGACCACCCAGAAGAACTGATCGGTGGCGGTGACATTTCGCGTTTTGCCTTAGTCCATGGTGCAGAAAAAGATGAACTGGGGCGCTGTCTCCTCTTTCTGCGAAGCATTTATGCTGGCAAAGAAGGAGGCGGAGCGCTTGAGAGAGCTACCTATCCTCCTCCTCACGCTCCAGCCGGACGTCAAGCATAGAGACTCGGCGGTTGTGGGTGCTCTTTAGGGCAGGGAATGCTCTTTGTAATGGGCAATCTGCAGCGTGAAATGTGTGCGGGACTTTCACAAAATGGTTGCAATCATATTTTATACCGTAATGAAGCAGTTAACGATTAGTACTTAATTAACAAATTAACTTATGACATGTAAGCTCTGCTGGAGTCAGGTGATTATCGCGTGGGCTTGCTGGAGTCAGGTCATTATCGCGTAGGCAGAGTCGTCATATGCTTAAAATGACCTATAGTCGGCGGCGCTGAGTTGTTTGGCTACCAAAAGTGGCTGATTGCTGGAGCAGGCCGGCTCACTCAGCGTGTTGATGGGCTAACTCAGCAGAGCCTTCGATAAAAATTTAATGTAAATTAGATTGTATTATTGTAGATATTTCAAAGTAACATGTAATTTATTCTATAAAATACTATAGTTATAGTTGTAGTATTTAAAATCAGTATTATTTAAATATGTAATTTTAGTAATATTGTTTGACAAGGGCATCAATTATAAAAAAAAACCAATGTTAAGTGGAATGCATAATGTTTGGAGTTTGGAGTACTTACGGGTGAGGCAAGGCTCTCTCTTAAGGAATCAGCTCACCCAAGCTATTTAACCTAAATGTTAACAAAATGATCTGTGAACTCAACAATACCAATTTCGGGTGCTCCATTGACAGGAACTTCATCAATAACATCAACGAAGCTCAGCTGTCCAGGGCCACGAGGTTCAAGTATCTGGGGCATTGGGTCTTTCTGACGGACTACCCATTACCAACTACACGGTTTCACTAAAGGTCGTTATACAACTGACGCCTGTCACTTGAATAAAGGAAATTATTAGGTGTTTGGGAAGAAGCACCTACATGATGCTGTTGATGTGTCCTTTGCGACGTTGATGTCGTTTCGTTGAAATTAGATCATGACACACGGATTAGAGACACTGCATTAATATTTATTTAGGGTAGTTTTCTATGAAATTTGTGTGAAAAACTGAGCTATGACGTCACAACTTCTTTGCGTCAAATAGCTTACTTATTTCTTGTTAATTAGCTAAAAAAATCTAAAAATTAGTGTATCGATCGATCGATGAATAGAAGTATAGTTATTTTTCAATATTTTATTGTAATGGAACGTCGAAATAATTTATTTTTGACCTAAGTAGGAAACTACCCAATTCTTTTCCCAGTGAAGTTATAAGTACAATATTATTATACTATATTTAAGTCATATTGTTTATCTTTATGTGAGTTTATAACTATTCCCATGATATCAAGAAATTGCATTTTCTAAATTTTAATTGTCTTAGACCCTTAGAACATATGATAGGTAGGTTTTATTTACCGATGAAAATAGGGATAAAGATGCTAACCTAACGATTTACGTGCATTGATTCGTGAGATAACAGAATCCAAACTTATGCAGTGTGGGGAGGCGTAAAATAACACAAATAACATGTAAGGATTTCTTTAATTATTGCACACAATGTTAAAATGTCATTAATCGTTCTGATTTTTTACTTTTGACCAAATGTGATTGGAGAGGACGAATCGTAATATGTTATCTATGTGTGAGATTAAAATATTAAAACTCTTCATTTATATTTATTAGTTCAATAAAGTTACCTATTTACCTAATTAGGCATTTATTTTCCGAGTACTGAAATCAAGAACATGTTAAAATATAGTTGATGAAAGTAGGACCAACAATGTAATTATCTACTTACTTTCAATCTATTCCCATAATATACTATTAGGTACTTTTAATATCTTATACTAATGTACTCTAAGCCACGGAAATAGAACGGTTAGCATGACGGGTTTATAGCTATTTTTTAACTATTTTGTTCAAGCAGCTAATGTTTTTTCTATAAACGCTTTCATATCTTTAAGCTCGGCATCTGAAGAACTATGTGTCAAGCCCTGGTATGTTGTGAATTCGACATTTTTCATGAAAGTCTTGAGGAACGAAGCAGTCATTTGTCCCCATTTAAATGGAACTACTGGATCACAGTCACCATGAGCTTGAAATATCTGAAAGAGGCACAATTAAAATTTGCTATAATTTCAGTAAAATTAATCAATGTCGCTTAGTATTTTATTTATTATGACCTTATCCTATTAACATACATTATATAATAGGTAATACTAATAATACAACGCTCATTATAAAAAGTAGGTAGGTAACCTATAACGCATTTTCAACCTCAGACATTATGTGCATATTTTTTACTGCCTATGTTCTACCTGATGACGTAAAATTTGCAAAAACTAATGAAAAACAGACAAAAAATTCATACATTAATATACGATATTGAATATACCTAATTTCCGGCAATTAACCCGGTCTACATAAAGGAAGTTTACCAATAAATATTTAAAACATAAATTAGAATACAATGAGCTTTGAATACAGAAATCCATTTATAACATACTATCTACTCTTGCGCGGTTTCACCCGCTGCTCAGCTCTATTTAATCGTAGCGTGATGTTTTATAGCCTATAGTACTCAGGAACCTTGTAACTATCTATCAATGAAAGAATTTTAGCAATCCGGCCAGCGGTTCCAAAGATTACCCCCTACTACAAACTGACAAATTTTACCTCTTTGTAATATTAGTATAGATTTTCCAAAGGCAACTTTGGTGAGATACATTACATGACATCCTCTAATATATTGATATTGTTATATACAATGTAGATATACCTACATATATATTCTTCGAGGATTGTCGACTAGTTTCAATTTACACGGGAGCTCACAATCATAAGTGGTGTGTAATGAACGGATTTCACTTCACTTTGGATTATGTGTGAATACTGAACTACAGACTCTACTCGAAAAGATATTTGACTTGCGAAGATGGGTACATAAAATATGTTTTTACTACTTACATCCAAACTAATATTATAAATGCGAAAGTAGCTCTGTCTGTCTGTCTGTCTTTCGTTCACGCCTAAACTACTGAACCGATTTCTGTAAAATTTGTTACAGACAGATCTGCAGGAAGTCACTATAGCACGCACGTCGCGTGGTTGCAGGCAAAAGCTAGTAACTTTATAAGTTTACTACGAGGAATAGAAAATTTACACTATCTCTGTGACAAGTATTTATTCATAAGTTATATCCAGCATATATTTTAATAGCAAAGTCTTTCTGGTGATAATAAGTGTTTGTGTAATCTTATCATTTATGTAGCAATAATGTTGCAGACTGTTGTTATTAAAGACTTTAATTACTTCATTGATTACTATGAGCCACACCTGTTAAAAACCCTACATGTTAATGAGATTTATAGTATATTTAAGCTGGCAACTTGGGTTAATCGTCTTATCTTCCATGGGCATGAAAGCAGTCATAGCGCATTGAGCACACCACTTTACTTTTGTTGACAACTTACTCAAAATAAATAGGAAATGGGGAAATTAAGATTTTGTAGAGTTCAGGTGATTTTTAACAGCAGAAATGACTGCTTTGATTTCATTTTTGACATTAACGCCGTGCTACTAGATAGTGTCAAAAATAATTTTTTTTATCGTAATCTACAGATTGTGGATTTTTTTATAGGATTTACTTGGATACAGGTCACGTGTTGCCAGTGGTCAGTGTCACCCATGAAAGCTTTTAACACTTTTGGATTGCGTGTTACCATTTCTATGACGTGTAAATAAGTCCAGTACTCAGGACTAACAAGTTGCTGGGTCATTAATTAGTGACAGCATAGATTAGTTAAAATGATGATACTGACTTACCAGAATGTCTTTAGAAGTCTTAACTGCATCCGGGAAATGAGCATGTCGTGGTAACCAGCAAGATAGTGACATAATTCCAGCTAGAGGTTCTGGATATGTCAAACCCGCATGAAGAGCTAATGCGCCACCTTGAGAAAACCCACCTAGCAATATCCTGCCGGGAAGTATACCAGCCTGAAGTAGAAAATTTATTCATGTTATTTGAATAATGTAAACTATGCATTTTATTACATAAATAAAACATTCCTATTGAACCAGTTTTTGTGGCATTTATGTATGGTAATGTTCATTGTGTTATGTACAAAATTTAATACTTAATATTCATTATTTTTAATTTTTAGAAATTTCTTTTGACTAGCGAGTACCCACCACTGGATTTGCACAAAAATACAAAAACGGCATTGAAATCAATTGCGTAGTTCTAAAAGATTCAAGCATACATAGGGGATTTTTTTAACAAGCATGCCAAGTAAATAACTTTGTTTTATACTATGTAATAGTTAGACAAGTATCCATATTTTTTATCTTAATTACCTATGTTTATTTCTTGGTAAATTAAAAAAGATAACAAATTTAATTTAAAAAAATATTTCAAAAATTTACAATTACCTGTATTTGTTCTAATAAAACAATATTTATAATCTTAATGTGTTTGTTGTTGAACAAAACAAATTTGATGTTATAGTACTATACACATCTTTTTTAAACACTGCCTATCTCTCAGATCCTTGCCATTATTCTATTTTATCATACCAACAATATAAGTAATATAGGCTTAGCACTGATCTATATAAAAAATGCTGTTAATCCAAGTACAGTTGCTGTTCTGTTAGACTGATTGTTCAAAACAACTAAATTATCATAGGTATGATCAGAATAACAGATTAAACCAACAAATGTTACATAGTGACTTATTATAATTGTGAATTAATCTTCCATTCTTTTGGGACAACATTATGTCATTATTAATGCAACATTTATTATTTATACAAAAACAATGTTTTTTTATGAAAGGGAAATGAGCTTTTGTTTTACTGTTATTGACAGCATTAACAACATATTACTATGTGCTAACTAGGTGTAAACAATTAAAACTTAGACAGTTACATATCAGACAGAAACTTATCAGGCTTGTAAATATAATAGATTTAACTTGATTAGTATTAATTAGAGCAAATTTCACTTACTTTAATTTCATTAGCAATAAGACGGTGTACATGTTCAGTGGCTCTTAAGATTCCCTCTTCATCTTCAGGAGCTGTAGCATCTAATGTTCTTAAATCAAACCAGGATGGCATACGAAAACCTGCATTCAACGTCACTGGCATTGTAGCGGCAGTCGGACATATTACCTTAACGTGAGGGCCACGAATAGCAGCAATTGTATTTGCCCAACCATGGCTAAAATAGAAAATATAAGATAATTACGAAATTCAACATCAAATGTTAAGAGTAACATTCACTAATCAAAAACATACTAACCCAGTGTCACCCAGACCATGAAGAAATATAAGCTGAAATAAAAACACCGATAACGAATTAATTGTAACATATTCACGTTCTATATAAAAAAAGGAAAAAATTACTTACAGACGCCGTTTGTTTGGCTGTGGCAGCGATAATTACAGGATTTGGTTCCATTATCTAAACAATACGGGAAAATCAATACTTTTATTCTGCAAAGTAGAGTAGAATCTACCAACACACAGTTCATTCAACTAAATGTTCCAGTGACTGATCCACCTCTTATTATATATTTTGACATTGTTGACGTTACTGACATTGAATTTTCATTCAGTCAGTGCCGATCTAGTCAGAACTTAGTACTTAGTTATATTCTTTTTGTACCAGTCTGGCTAATATTTATTTAAAAACATTGTATTTATTCGAAATAATTTCATAAATCAAACCAAACATGGAGATGGGTGGCTTGTTTGTGCGAATAATTCTACACACCCACGACAAACTTAAAGGAGAAAACCCTAGTGTAGGGCCAAAGACCTTGAGTATAAGGTCTTTGTGTAGGGCAACGTTTTAGTGTGCATATTTAGATATTTTTACACAAAATATATCTTATTATTTAAAAAGGTTTTATCTTATTTCACTTCATTTTGAAGGTTATTTTAGAAAAGATTATCTGTAACTAAGCTTTTATTCATAGCATGTTGTTTGGACAGACTAACTACTCTAACTACTAGACTAAACAATACAGTACCTGCGCATGAGATATTATAGTACCTTTGCTTTCATATTGGTGGGTGATGGCCAATTGGGTGGGACAACAGTCTGAAATGATCGGAGAATGCAGAGTGCACATTGTGCATTGCCTGAAGGATAAGACCACTGAACTTGTCCTTTAAGTTTCGCACCTTGTGAAGTGCAGAAGTGCTGCGTTAAGCTGCTAAATACAGAAAAAAAAGTGAAACAGGCTCAGTGATTAAGTAAATACCATGGAGTAAAAATATAATATACAAATAATTTAAGGAGCACTTTTATTCCAATATGGGCAATACTTACGGCAAAAAAGTAAAGAAATTGTTGTATGTGGCAAGAATAGTCGTGTCAGTGATTGTTACGTAAACTTATCGGATCTCTCTTTCACACTCGCCCTACTAAATGGGTCCACTAGCGCTCAGTAATTGATTAAGATACGCATTCTTGACTTTATTTTCATTGCTTGTTATTTCTTGGATATTCAGTGGACTTCTTTTTATATTTTGTTGAATTTTGTTACAATGGATTCAACTTTACGTGAACAAGTTATGATAAATCAATTTGTGCTAGCTGCAGGATGTGCTCAAGAACAAGCTAAACAACTATTGCAAGCTGCACATTGGCAATTTGAGGTAAAATTTATAAATATGTAAACAAACAGTATGTAATCATGAAATGGCTGCTACATATTTTGATTTACAATAGCCTTTAGCAGTTGTCACCCGTTGTTATCAATTTAATTGCTAATTGTTTAAATAAATAATGATCCTGTATTTATTTATGTGCTCCGTGTATTCAATATGCATTTTATGATTAGTAAATTCAACTGAAATTATTTATGTTATTAGATAAACGCTACTCGTATAATCTGTAAACACATTATTGATATTGACGAAATAACACGCAATAAGCGAATGGAGCTAGTGGTTTAACCTTGATGAGAATATAGCAAATAAGTTATTGTACGTGTTTATATATCTACTTTATCTCTCGTGTTGAGTAGTAGTACTATGATAAAATGAATGGCTGTCAGTATCATCATATAAATAAAGGGTTACATTTTAAAACTTAAAAGCTTTATGTTATATTTATGTTTTGTTTTTTCAGTCCAATATTATGAGATACATAAATACATTCAAAATGACAACTCTATGTACATAATTATTATTACCTTTGCAATCTAAGTTACACATTTATTGGTTAGGTTCACAGTCTGTTTATTTACAGGTCATACCAAGATAAAAAAAAGAATGTTATTTTCTTTTTGTTTTTCATTAAGGTATGCCAGTTTATTAAAAACATTTTATATTTAGTACTGGTTATTCCCGATTATATAACAAGCATAGGTTGTTATTATCATTATATGAAAATATGAATGATGACTAATCTTATGATTTTTTACTTACTGCTTTCAAGATTTTATGTATAAAGTTACTTACACAATTCTATGTTATTTCAAATCTAACGTCTTTGTTATCATATGTTCCATTATTGAGCAGTTTAATTCTGCCAATAAGATTAAGCATGCTGCGGGTGTCCATGGGGTGCGCTGATCGCTTACTATCAGGTCATCCATCCGCATGTTTGCCTCCTATTCCATAAAAACAAGTGTTTGCAACTTTATAATAAATAACCTTTTGATTTTCAGACAGCATTATCAATATTTTTCCAAGAAGTGGCTATACCTACTGGAGCTAATGGAATTGCAGCCCCACACTACCGTCAGGTATAAAAATCACTAAATTTTTTTTCTGTCATTAGGAAAGAATACATATATATTATTTTTATATAAATAACATGCAATATCCTTATAACATTCTAAAAGTGTGTATCATGATTTTGAAAAAAATAAACCTTTGTAAAAACTACTTTGTTTTATGCTCTTATAATGTTGAATAGCAATTAATTGAATAAATTAATATTTATTTATTTTCAGCAATTGATGACGCCATGTAATACTCCAGCGACACCTCCTAACTTTCCTGATGCACTAGCTGCATTTTCACGACTGTCTACGACGGGCAGCCCAAACAATGCAGGCGGCACTGGTTGTGGAGGCGCGGCAGCGCCGCCCGTGTCCCCGCTCGCTACACACCCACCACCGCCACCAACACCACATATGCAAATGAACATGTTTCCTGGCAATCCAAATCCTCAGACAAATTATTCGTCAATTTCCCGTTCAACTGCTGTAAGTAGTGTCGAGTTTATCAAAAACATTTTTAAATTTAGTAACACTTGTTGAAATAGTTGTAATAATAAATAACTAACCAGATGTGTTTCTCTAATTTCAGATGTGCAGCGAAAACATGCCAAGATAAATTTGACGGTATTAGTTTAGGAGCATCTATAATTTATTTTTCTAATGGTGCGCAATGTGAGCTGTGGAATTGTGTATGAAATGTATATTACTTTAGTAAACACCCTATAGCAGCGATGGTTTGCTGGACAATATTTGGGGTGCTGTACTGTAGTCAATCATGTTAAATTTATTACAAAATATTGTATCTACATTATATGTATACAGTGGTTTCTAAATGTGCACAATAAATCCTATGAATTGTGTTAGTTTTTGGTAATCGAAATTTATAAAGTGATTGTAAAAAATTAACAAATTGTAATCATAAATAATAATCATGACTTTAATAACATACAGAGTGAGAATTTTGCTTTAGCTTCTAAAGTTATCGTCATACTTCGACAATTATTTCATAGTTAAGAACAATATGTGTAATAAAATAGTATTGACAGTAATACCCTGGTATATACTACTCGATTACAAGTACTTGCTTTTTGATGCAGAACTCCAATACATAATTAAAGAGGATGTCTTGATAATTCATTAAAAATGTTTAATCCCACATTTTCTCAAGAAATGTCTATATTAATTTTATATGAATTTCTGTATGTAAGAAGCTAGTTATTAGTTTAAAACGAAATGTGAAACCAGAGTTAGTTGTTTGATTTGATCATTGTTTTTGAAAACACCAAAATTAATTATACAGATTCATGTGGAAATAACACAAGTAACAACTCTTTTCTTATTAAAGAAATATAAACAGGTACTTACATCAATGTTTCTGTGATTCTGAATATCTTTTAAGTTGAAACGGTTTTTATTATTCTATCGTACCTATTTCGTTCTCATAAATGAAGTCGCACTTTTAAACGACTGTAGAACTCGAGAAATACAAGGTCCATATTCATGTTATGGTTTCCATTACGGCAACAGAGAGAAAAATATATGTTGGGACCATGTACACAACCCTACCCAGTTTCCTACAGGATGTACGTAATTTTACTTTTTTGACGCGTGTGTGCAATTTGTTGCCTAATACGAACAGGAGAATGTGGGACAGAAGATATACTAACAGGTAACTGATCGAAGTAAGTTCAATGTCGGTGTTATCTTGCTTTGTACTATAATGTCCTGACACACTATTGTCGTGGTTTCGATGTAGGTAAGAAATAGGTGAAATAAATGGAAAAGGTACTGTTCATCGCATACATACAGAGCTAATCACTGTCCAGTAAATCATCAAACTGGCTGTGCAAAGTTATGTGGCAGTCCTATCCTACCTCAATAACACCCATTTTATTATAAATCAGGTTAAAAAATATTGGTTTTTTCATAAATCATTGGATTTCACCTGTTATAAAATTATACGATTTATATAATTAAATATATTATTAGGTATAATTTAAATATTATAAGTACTAAGTAGTCATCTATGAGAAGGGATACTTAATCAAGATGGTGTATAATTATTTTGGCCATAATATTTAAGTTTCAGATTTCATGTAACTAAACTTCAAGCGAATAGGAAAATGGGTTTAACGAGCTGTCACCAAAAGTAAATAATTTGGCACATAAATAATAAATTTCAAAAATGTGAAGATATATTTTGCTTCCGGTTCTATGCGTTTATTTCAATTTTCAATATGTAGGTTCTATACATGATTACTATACCTTACTTAAAACGTACTATTACAAAATGTACCTCAGCTTATCAGGTGTTTTTATTGCCATGTCTGTCACAATAACACCAACGAAACCAATTTTTGTATAAGTAACTACTAAATATATTCCCCTACAAAATAGACTCAAAATCTTGAGCCAAAAATAAAAACAGCTAAACCCAGTTGGTTAAACTTAATCTTGCACTGACTCTTTTTATGTCGTATACATATTGTTTTAATTTGATATCATTAAATCAAATAAGTTCTCTACCCTTTTGTAACTAGGAGCACAATGAGAATACTTTAATTTTAAATGTATCAGTAGATACATTTGGTACATACCTTCAACTAGAATCTGTACTACTATTACTTAATCAAAATATGCACATAGGTACTGATTGATATACTTACTATAATAAAGTTGTTGAGATTTTTATGTGATTAGGTACTGCAAAAGGTCAGATAAAATACTTAGTACGTAAATAAAATAATCACAATATTTGGTGTTCTCAAATTAATTTGTAAAAACAAAAGATCTTGACTAATTCATCAAAATGTACTTGTAACATCTTAGTAATTTAAATACCTACCTACTTGATATGTCTTTAGTAGCCATAGCATATTTTACACCTGTATGTTTTCTCAATGTTGATATTACATATTTTTATTTTATAGTGTTATTTCACATTGTCTTACTTTTATAAGACACTAATTTGCTTGTTTCGGCTGTCACGAATAAAAAATGATTGTATTATTCGATGTGTTTAAATTACAGTTCATAACTTCATACACTAGGAGTAAAATATAATATGTTACTAATACTTATAGGTAATACTACAATAAGAATAAGATTTTTGATATCTGAATATTGATGGTGTTCGAAGTATTTACCTAATTTAGAGCTACTAAGCCAGCTAACTTATGGTATCACAACGTTTTTTCTGCCATCTTCCATTTCGCGTAGGTATGCAATAAAACAATGAATTTTTTTTAATAGTCCATAAAACAACACTTTCTCACGTCAAAATTATACATAAATAACTAGATGAAGCCGGCACGGCATTTCTTTTCTGACTACTCTAAAAATGCCGAAAGAAATTCAGAGGCCCGTCTCTTTTAAAGTCCCAATGTTAAACATGCATAATAATTATAAATAAAATACTAGTTTTTAATGTAGTAGTAAGTACCTACCGCAGTAAGGTGTCGATGTGTTATTGCTTTGGTTATTGCCAACTACGTTCAGACTACTTCAGACAGCATTTACGTAATAACTTTCACGTTTATATTATAATTATACCTAGGATTTCCATACAAAAATACAAATAGGGAATCTGTTTCGTAAACCACTGGGTAGGTACTTACCTACCTAACTTACATTAATTTATTAATGGCCGTCGTACGATGACGTCTGATCTATTGTTATGTATGTACTTATGTATTTGGTAAGGAAAATGACGACAACTTAATGTAGGTAAGTAGGAACCTACATAATAAACTATTCAGCAACAACATTAATGTTTTCAGATACAATATTTATCCACTTAACGGTGTAACATAGGTACCATCCTCCACTTAGGAGGGCCGTGTTATTACGGTTTTGTTTAAACATGAGACATATAACCGCTTCAAAGTTGTGATTTGATTACTAATTAGACTGAGGATACAATAAGAACAAAGGATAGGTATCATTACTTTTAAATAAATGTATCTATCTAGCTGTAGGATCCAAGACCGATATTGACTCACCGAAAGGGCCACTGACTCCCCGGGCGAAAATATTGTGGCGCCTACTTGAGGGAAGCAATATCAAGTGTTAGTTTGTTGCTGATCGTATTGATATCGTTAGAGTCACTCCTCGACCATAAACCATCAATAAAATTACTTAATCCACCAAAAAAAAAACTTAATAAAAATATGCATATGCACAGAGCGTAGAACACCGTTCTGAGGGTTTGCACCAGGAGAGGCAAGAGACTCCAACTTCAGACCTTGGCGCCCCCCAGAATTTGTCGCCCTGGGACATCGCCCCATCACACCACCATGTGCACCGTTGTCGCTTGTCCTTAGGAAAGCGACCAGTGGTGGTGACCTCTTGCATCCGGCTTTGTTTCAGGCCATGGTGCGGTACAAGCTGTCTATTTCTGCTGCGAAGCAGGTAGAAATCCCTGTTTACCTCTAATGCGGCAGAATATTTGAGAGAACCAGACCGGGCGACGTACCATGCTTTCGTCCCAAAGTAAAATAAAACCATAAATAATAAAAACGTTTATTTAATTGTGATTTTAAACTGCAAGCCATTGGGAATAACGCATTAATATGAAATACTTATGATTGATATTAATCAACAAAAAATCAGATACAAATAAAATTTTGTAGCATTTTAGATATTTTTCGACTAATAAGATGGTTGCGATTCAAATTCTACTTCTGAGTCCTTTTTTTCTTGGTTAGATGTTAACACATCAGTACTGCTGTTGTACTCAGATTCAAGTGCTTCACAACTCTCAATAGGACTAACAATGGTAGAATGTTTACTTATTTTGAATAATGCTGAAATGAAAAAAAAAACATGTTAACCGTTGCTTGGCAAGATTTCGAGCCGGCATGAAATTGTGAAATCTGTTATAATATAGGTATGTATTTTGGTAACTTTGAATTTGTGACTTTTCCTTAGATGAAAATATTAGGCATCATACAAACACATGACAACCAGATCCAGAACGCAATTTGTGGATCACGCAGAGTTGTTTTGCGTTTTGCGGTAGTCAGTACTAGGTACTATTTACTGGCGCCACCTGCCTCTCGCTCAGTGATTGTGATGTAGCTGTGACTAGGTACATAAGACACAATACAGCACTTTGAGATCGATTAAATTAAAATTACCGCCAGTTACGTCTAGACGAAAGAAGGTCTAACACGCCATGGTTGCAACTACACGACAGACTTACTTTTCATTTGGTACCTAGTTACTTGTTTCCTGACTCATTAGTAGCTTAGTTTCTTTTTTACAGACTTCCAAAAAGTGAAGGTTTTTTTCAGTTTAACTGTACCTACACATATAGTTAAGTATATATCTACAGTATACATATAATTAAGTATTGGTGGTTCTATATTTGTTCTCGATAAGTTCGCCATTATTTTATGAACAGATTTTGATGATATTTTTTTAAAATCAGCTATGAGACGCTGAAGACTTACGCGACTGACGCGCTTACGGTGGCCGGAAATCGTCATGCGATCCCCGCCGCCTGCAGTGTTTCTTACTGGGGCGGTTGGGACGTCAAATCAAAAAAAAAAAAGATGGAAACTTCCGGAGGCGATGGCCTCTCACGCCCGGCCTTAGTCGAGACCATGGTGCGGAGCAAGAGCAATTGGGACGCCGTCTCCTCTTTCTGTGAAGCATTTATGCTCGCAAGAAGGAGGCCGACCGCATGAGGGAGCTATTCTCCTCCTTACGCCCTAGCCACCGCAATTGGCGACACTCCTGGCGTCGGGGATCGAGAGAGTAGGTATCTCTGGCCACCGTAAGCGCGGGTTTGTGGACG